ATAAGAAGGCGATTAATGCAGAAGAGGACAAGTAATGCACATTGGGACGATCAATGCACAAGCTAGTGAGTAATGCACAGGAAGTCGAGTAGTGCTCCAGAGGCCGTTAGATGCACAAGGGGACGAGTAATGCACAAGAGCAGGAATAATGCACACGAGGCCTAATAATGCACAAGAGGCCAATTAACGCACAAGAGGCCGATTAATGCACAAGAGGCCGATTAATGCACAAGAGGACGAGTAATGCACAAGAGGGCGAGTAATGCACAAGAGCGTGAGTAATGCACAAGAGGGTGAGTAACGCACAAGATAACGAGTAATGCACAAGAATATGACTAATGCACAAAAAGACGATTAATGCATAAGAAGGCGATTAATGCAGAAGAGGACAAGTAATGCACATTGGGACGATCAATGCACAAGCTAGTGAGTAATGCACAGGAAGTCGAGTAGTGCTCCAGAGGCCGTTAGATGCACAAGGGGCCGAGTAATGCACAAGAGCAGGAATAATGCACTCGAGGCCGACTGATGCATAAGATGGTGAGTAATGCATAAGAAGGCGATCAATGCACAAGAGACCGAGTAATGCACAAGAGGGCGATTAATGCACAGGAGGACGAGTAATGCACAAGAGGACGAGTAATGCACAAGATAACGAGTAATGCACAAGAGGGTGAGTAATGCACAAAAAGACGATTAATGCATAAGAAGGCGATTAATGCAGAAGAGGACGAGTAATGCACAAGAGGACGAGTAATGCACAAGAGTGTGAGTAATGCACAAGAGGACGAGTAATGCACAAGAGGGTGAGTAACGCACAAGATAACGAGTAATGCACAAGAATATGACTAATGCACAAAAAGACGATTAATGCATAAGAAGGCGATTAATGCAGAAGAGGACAAGTAATGCACATTGGGACGATCAATGCACAAGCTAGTGAGTAATGCACAGGAATTCGAGTAGTGCTCCAGAGGCCGTTAGATGCACAAGGGGACGAGTAATGCACAAGAGCAGGAATAATGCACACGAGGCCGAGTAATGCACAAGAGGCCAATTAACGCACAAGAGGCCGATTAATGCACAAGAGGCCGATTAATGCACAAGAGGACGAGTAATGCACAAGAGGGCGAGTAATGCACAAGAGGGTGAGTAACGCACAAGATAACGAGTAATGCACAAGAAGGTGACTAATGCATAAAAAAGACGATTAATGCATAAGAAGGCGATTAATGCAGAAGAGGACAAGTAATGCACATTGGGACGATCAATGCACAAGCTAGTGAGTAATGCACAGGAAGTCGAGTAGTGCTCCAGAGGCCGTTAGATGCACAAGGGGACGAGTAATGCACAAGAGCAGGAATAATGCACACGAGGCCGAGTAATGCACAAGAGGGCGATTAATGCACAGGAGGACGAGTAATGCACAAGAGGACGAGTAACGCACAAGATAACGAGTAATGCACAAGAGGGTGAGTAATGCACAAAAAGACGATTAATGCATAAGAAGGCGATCAATGCAGAAGAGGACAAGTAATGCACATTGGGACGATCAATGCACAAGCTAGTGAGTAATGCACAGGAAGTCGAGTAGTGCTCCAGAGGCCGTTAGATGCACAAGGGGACGAGTAATGCACAAGAGCAGGAATAATGCACACGAGGCCGAGTAATGCACAAGAGGCCAATTAACGCACAAGAGGCCGATTAATGCACAAGAGGCCGATTAATGCACAAGAGGACGAGTAATGCACAAGAGGGCGAGTAATGCACAAGAGCGTGAGTAATGCACAAGAGGGTGAGTAACGCACAAGATAACGAGTAATGCACAAGAATATGACTAATGCACAAAAAGACGATTAATGCATAAGAAGGCGATTAATGCAGAAGAGGACAAGTAATGCACATTGGGACGATCAATGCACAAGCTAGTGAGTAATGCACAGGAAGTCGAGTAGTGCTCCAGAGGCCGTTAGTTGCACAAGGGGACGAGTAATGCACAATAGCAGGAATAATGCACAAGAGCAGGAATAATGCACACGAGGCCGAGTAATGCACAAGAGGACTAGTAATGCACAAGAGGGTGAGTAACGCACAAGATAACGAGTAATGCACAAGAGGCCGATTAATGCACAAGAGGACGAGTAATGCACAAGAGGGCGAGTAATGCACAAGAGGGTGAGTAACGCACAAGATAACGAGTAATGCACAAGAAGGTGACTAATGCATAAAAAGACGATTAATGCATAAGAAGGCGATTAATGCAGAAGAGGACAAGTAATGCACATTGGGACGATCAATGCACAAGCTAGTGAGTAATGCACAGGAAGTCGAGTAGTGCTCCAGAGGCCGTTAGATGCACAAGGGGACGAGTAATGCACAAGAGCAGGAATAATGCACACGAGGCCGAGTAATGCACAAGAGGGCGATTAATGCACAGGAGGACGAGTAATGCACAAGAGGACGAGTAACGCACAAGATAACGAGTAATGCACAAGAGGGTGAGTAATGCACAAAAAGACGATTAATGCATAAGAAGGCGATCAATGCAGAAGAGGACAAGTAATGCACATTGGGACGATCAATGCACAAGCTAGTGAGTAATGCACAGGAAGTCGAGTAGTGCTCCAGAGGCCGTTAGATGCACAAGGGGACGAGTAATGCACAAGAGCAGGAATAATGCACACGAGGCCGAGTAATGCACAAGAGGCCAATTAACGCACAAGAGGACGAGTAATGCACTAGAGGCCGATTAATGCACAAGAGGACGAGTAATGCACAAGAGGGTGAGTAATGCACAAGAGGGTGAGTAATGCACAAGAGCGTGAGTAATGCTCAAGAGGGCGAGTAACGCACAAGAGGACGAGTAATGCACAAGAGGCCGATTAATGCACAAGAGGAGAAATGCTCAAGATCGCGACTATGCACAAGAGCACGTGTAATGCATATTGGGACGAGTAATGCACAAGCTATTGAGTAATGCACAAGCTATTGAGTAATGCACAGGAAGTCGAGTAATGCACAAGCGACCGATTAATGCACAAGAGGTCGATTTATGCAAAGGATGGTGAGTATTGAATAGGAGGTCGAGTAATGCACAAGAGGACGAGTAATGCACAAGGGGCCGATTAATGCATAAAATTTTGAGTAATGCACATAAAGGCGAGTAGTGCACAAGAGGGTGATAAGTGCACAAGAGGAGGAGTAATGCCCAGAGTGGCTAGTAATGCACAGGAGGACGAATGATGCTCTGGATGACGGGTAATACTCATGATAGCGAGTTTTACAAAGGTAGAACGAGCTATTCCCTTTGAGGCGAGTAAAGCTCTATATGGTGAGCAATGCTCTATATGGTGAATAATGCTCTATATGGTGAATAATGCTCTATGAGGTGAGTAATTCTCTATATGGAGAGTAATGCTCTGGCGGTGCACAGGAAACTACGTATTACAGTCAGGGTTTAACAAGTGTTAAATGTCCAAGACTGAATCAACACTACATTTTAGACAAGGCTACAGCTATTAGCACCACCTGATTCAACACTATAGCACGCACCTGTCGCACGTGCAGACTGTTAAGTGTCTCCTATTTGTGCAGGCAAATCTCAGGTTACAGGTTATCATATACACATAATGCAGCAGGAAAGATGAGCTTAGACGGATCCTCTGCCCGTACACGTGAGTGTAATATTAGTTGCACATGGTATAATGAGTTCATAAAACGCTTCTACAGTACTTAGTGTACATGTTTAAATGTACTCAAACGTCACCATTTTAGTTGCACATGGTGTAATGTACTCCTATAATAGCTATGGTATTAGGACCGCCTCCGTGGCCTAGTGGTAGGGCGTCTGCACGGAGGGCGGAAGATCCTGTGATCGATCCGAAGCTCGATGGTCAGCTCGGAGTCAGTATGCTGTGTCTGAATGGGGTATTCATGTTTAACTGCAGCATGGTATCTCAGTGGTCTAGCACTATAAAATCGGCATTAACCCGGACTAGTACAAGCAGCCGCACACACGCACGCACGCACGCACGCACGCACGCACGCACGCACGCACACACGCACACGTGTATGCACATCGCTATATGAGTGCAATAATCTTGAACGCGACGTTTAACCCCATTTCACGTCACCTATGGTATTAGTTGCACATGGTGCAAGCTACTCATATAAACGCTATCATAGTAGTTGCACATGGTGTAATGTACTCATATAAACGCTATCATAGTAGTTGTACATGGTGTAATGTACTCATATAGCGGCTATCATAGTAGTTGCACATGGTGTAATGTACTCATATAAACGCTATCATAGTAGTTGCACATGGTGTAATGTACTCATATAAACGCTGTCATAGTAGTGGCACATGGTGCAATGTACTCATATAAACGCTATCATAGTAGTTGCACATGGTGTAATGTACTCATATAAACGCTGTCATAGTAGTGGCACATGGTGCAATGTACGCATATAAACGCTATCATAGTAGTTGTACATGGTGTAATGTACTCATATAAACGCTATCATAGTAGTTGCACATGGTGTAATGTACTCATATAAACGTTATCATAGTATTTGTACATGGTGTAATGTACTCATATAAACGCTATCATAGTAGTGGCACATGGTGTAATGTACTCATATAAACGTTATCATAGTAGTTGCACATGGTGTAATGTACTCATACAAACGCTGTCATATTAGTGGCACATGGTGTTATGTACTCATATAAACGTTATCATAGTATTTGTACATGGTGTAATGTACTCATATAAACGTTATCATAGTATTTGTACATGGTGTAATGTACTCATATAAACTCTGTCACAGTAGTTGCACATGATGTAATGTATTGCTTCAAAAGCAATCATGTGTCATGTAGGTGTATATAGATAGAGATAAATACACCTGATTGTGGACACAGATATATCACTTGGTGATTGCTTTTCTATGTGGCAGTGTGCCTCAGTAGTTGAGAATCACTTGTTTCTTGTTTTTAGAAATCCAACATTTTCAACATGCTGTCCCGAAAGGACCGCAGCATCATTGTCGGTTCATGCGCAGTCGTGATGGTGACCCTCTTCCTGCTGCATTCACCTGTGGTAAGTGAGGACATCGTTACGAAGGATAATTGGTGACCCTCTTCCTGCTGCATTCAGCTGTGGTAAGTGGGGACATCGTAATGGAGGATAATTGGTGACCCTCTTCCTGCTGCATTCACCTGTGGTAAGTGAGGACATCGTAACGAAGGATAATTGGTGACCCTGTTCCTGCTGCATTCACCTATGGTAAGTGAGGACATCGTAATGGAGGATAATTGGTGACCCTCTTCCTGCTGCATTCACCTGTGGTAAGTGAGGACATCGTTACGAAGGATAATTGGTGACCATCTTCCTGCTGCATTCAGCTGTGGTAAGTGGGGACATCGTAATGGAGGATAATTGGTGACCCTCTTCCTGCTGCATTCACCTATGGTAAGTGAGGACATCGTAACGAAGGATAATTGGTGACCCTGTTCCTGCTGCATTCAGCTGTGGTAAGTGAGGACATCGTAACGAAGGATAATTGGTGACCCTGTTCCTGCTGCATTCACCTGTGGTAAGTGAGGACATCGTAACGAAGGATAACTGGTGACCCTCTTCCTGCTGCGTTCACCTGTGGTAAGTGATGACATCGTATTGAAGGATAATTGACAGCAGCCGCATCAACATATAACTGATGTCAAGATTGTTCAACCGAACTCATGCACTAAACACAACATGCGAAAAAGAAAGTAAAAACGGTTTGCGTGTTATTTACTGTTTCCGAACAGACCACTGATATTTGATATTCGGATTTTCGGTGGGGTGAGGGATTGTGTATGGAGAATGAATAATTTTTGAAATAACACTATGAGCTTAAATATGTTTTTTAATTATCTAAAAATTTTGTAGCTCATAGCACCTTTATTTTTGATAATATAAAATGGCCAGTCCCTAAAAGAACATATCATTCATACCAAGGAAGTAACAAGTTTATACGTTACAGGAAGACAACAAGAATTCCCTCTCACAAAATACCTTCATCCAAAATATGGTTTGGTTTCCATGCTGAAAGGTCATTTGTTGTAAAGGCTGCTAGTGTACACCATCTCAAACTGGTATTCCAGCCTCCATCACTTTGTGTGGTATAAACGGGTTTTTTTACCATTAAAATGCTGGGGAACCTCTATATGTTTCTTAGATAAGAAGCCCGAATGGTTTGATCGTCCAACCACCTGTCTCCAGCCCTGACCAACTCAGCGAGGATACAGAGTCACATAAACGGAGCATGCCATTGATTGATAAATCGCCACTCGCCCAGCTCCGCCATCTTGGTTCGGTAAGATTTACAGTGCCAAAACCCGTGACATGATTTTGGTGTTTATTTTCAGTGAAAGGAACTCTCTGGCAATATAGAAACTGATGTTGGCTAACTCATCACTCTTGCAAAAGTATCCTCCTCCTCACATTTTAAAATACGGTTAATCCTAAATTTTCCAGCCGTGAAGATCTGGGTAGAGAATTGGTCTGCTTGAATCCATGCTTGCAGTAAAATTCGACTGTGCTTGTCGTAAGAGGCGTCTAACGGGATCGGGTGATCAGACTTGCTGACTTGGTTGATGCATGCCATCGTATCACAATTGCGTAGAACGATGCTCATTTTGTCAAATGATTATTTTCAGACCGCCGCCATATAGCTGGAATATTGCCGAGTGCGGCGTTACACGACAATCAAACACACAGAATACTTACATTTCAGGGATTGTTTCGTTTTGTTTTCACACTTGATAAAGTAAACGGACTCCTATTGCATTCTATGTAGATATTTTTATCAGAAACATCAGAAAATAATTTAACATATATATTCTTGAAGCTACATGCAAATGTTCAAGATGGCCGCCGTGATTCACTGAAATTCTTATGCATTCATTTCCATTTTATTTCATAAAGAAATTAATGTCAGCATTTATGTTTCGGTCATTTTCAAAATAGTTTTTTAAAAAAACGTCACACTAATTCATTCAACTATCACTTACTATCTTGTGTATGGTTTCTTTATGATGGTGGAAACACTGATAGACACAATTAATAACAAACATCAATGAACAGAGTTATTCACGAAGAACCCAATTCAACACTCTGAATAATATGCCCCATCACTGAACTTCTTGCAGCCATGTTAGGTTTGCGCTCCATCCAGATGTCATGTCACGTGTTAGGTTAGCGCTCCATCCAGATGTCATGTCACGTGTTAGGTTAGCGCTCCATCCAGATGTCATGTCACGTGTTAGGTAAGAAGTCCATCTAGGTGTCATGTCACGTGTAAGGTTAGAACTGCATCGAGGTGTCACATCTGGTGTAAGGCGAGGCCTTTCCAGGCATGACAAGTTGGTCGTATTGTGTGGGCTTCGTGCAGCTTCGTTGTGTTTCGGCAGGTGGATCTTCCTTCCAAGGGCGTGCTTGAGAAGCTGAACAGTTCCACGTTGTACAAGATCTACCACAGGTAACCCGCTTCATACTCTCCACACACTCCACGAGGCATGCACGTGATGTTATGCTCTGCTTTTCATTTGCCTTGTCAACTGGCGGTGTCATACCAAAATACGGTGAAATATGGCACTTGTTACCCTGTCCGGCGTTCGGCATTAAGGGCATAAATCAAAGACTCGTAGGCTCGAAGTCAGTATATATCTTGTCAAAAGATTTTTCACGGGAATATGTTCTGTTCTTCAGTTACCTTGACAACATCAACTACTTATGTCACCGGAGATTGCGGATGGGGAAGGTTGGTGATGGAGGCTGGGAAGTGTGTGACGATGAAGACTTTCGGCCAATCACACCGTGCCTTGTATATTCGTTTGGGTGAGTGGAATATTTATTGCTCAGCTCAACTGGGATTTAGGTAAAGGTGGTGAAAGTATTCTCCTCTGACACCACATGAAACTTCTCCTGACATCACGGTTTTAACCTGTCCTGTTCTGACATCTGACAGAACCTCTGCTTTTCTGACACCACAGAGGGGCGGTCGGGTAGCCTTGTGGTTCGCTCGTCACGCCGAAGACCCGGGTTCGATTCCAGATATGGGGACAATGTGTGAAACCCTATTCTGGTGTCCCCCGCCGTGATATTGCTGGAATATTACCATAAAACCATACTCACTCACTCACTGACACCACAGATAAAACATGTCCTCTCACACGACGGATAAAACCCACCCCTCGCCGATATCATGGTCGTCATGGTTACCATATACAATATTAATATATATTGAATGTTCCTCCAGGCACACTGAATGCATACAGAACGTTCCTCCATAGACCCATCTTGAATGTGTTCAATACGTCCCTCCATACGCCATGAAAGTTTATATATTGTTTATCCATACACCCTGAATGAATACACAACGTCCATCTATACACCCTGAATGTATACACAACGTCCATCAATACACCCTGAATGTAAATACAACGTCCATCCATACACCCTGAATGTATACACAACGTCCATCCATACGCCCTGAATGTATACACAACGTCCATCCATAAACCCTGAATGTATACACAACGTCCATCCATACACCCCGAATGTAAATACAACGTCCGACCATACACCCTGAATGTAAACACAACGTCCATCCATACACCCTGAATGTATACACAACGTCCATCCCTCTCTATATCCTGTATTGTACACAACGTCCATCCATACACCCTGAATGTATACACAACGTCCATCCCTCTATATATCCTGTATGTATACACAACGTCCATCCATACACCCTGAATGTAAATACAACGTCCGACCATACACGCTGAATGTATACACCCTGAATGTATACACAACGTCCATCCCTCTATATATCCTGTATGTATACACAACGTCCATCCATACACCCTGAATGGACACACAACGTCCATCTATACACCCTGAATGTATACACAACGTCCATCCATATGCCCTGAATGTATACATAACGTCCATCCATAAACCCTGAATGTATACACAACGTCCATCCATACACCCTGAATGTAAATACAGCGTCCGACCATACACCCTGAATGTATACACAACGTCTATCCATACACCCCGAATGTATACACAACGTCCATCCCTCTCTATATCCTGTATGTATACACAACGTCCATCCATACACCCTGAATGTATACACAACGTCCATCCATACACCCTGAATGTATACACAACGTCCATCCATACAACCTGAATGTAAATACAACGTCCGACCATACACCCTGAATGTATACACAACGTCCATCCATACAACCTGAATGTAAATACAACGTCCGACCATACACCCTGAATGTATACACAACGTCCATCCATACACCCTGAATGTATTCACAACGTCCATCCCTCTATAAATCCTGTATGTATACACAACGTCCATGCCTCTACACATCCAATATGTATACACAACGTCCATCCATACGCCCTGAATGTATACACAACGTCCATACCTCTATACATCAATATGTATACACAACGTCCATCCCTCTATATATCCTGTATGCATACACAACTTCCATCCATACGCCCTGAATGTATACACAACGTCCATACCCCTATACATCCAATATGTATACACAACGTCCATCCCTCTATATATCCTGTATGCATACACAACGTCCATACCTCTATACATCCAATATGTATACACAACGTCCATCCATACACCCTGAATGTATACACAACGTCCATCCCTCTATACAGTTCACTACTATGTTTTTAAGATGTATTATATTGTATCTGCAGCATCAACCACGACTTCTCATTTGATGACGACATCGCGAAGAACTACCGGTGCCAGGTCTTGTCCTTTGACCCGAGGTAAAGTCAACAGATAGCTGTTTCAAACGTTTTGTAGACAACGATGTACATAATCTGCTTGCACTTACGACAGTGTTCAGACGGAGATGCATATCATATATATAACTACGAAGGTAAGGCGAACTGGTCGTGGCCTCACAGAGAAACCCGTTCGAAGCAAATTGTTTACACGTTAATTTTCAATATAATCAACCTGTGACATCAATACACAATGCGCTTGACATCGCACCACCCGCCAAAGCCACCGCCCCACCCGCCGCCGCACCACCCGCCATCGCCCCACCCGCCAACGCCCCACCCGCCAACGCCCCAGCCGCACCACCCGCCGCCGCCCCACCCGCCACCGCCCCATCAGCATAAAAGAAACCACCGTCATTTGTGATCTTATTAAAATTCTTTTACAAAAAATACCCAAAGTCCAATATTAACTTAAATCCCATCACCGTGTCTGTTTAGGGATTAATTCATCTATTTTAGGACACACATGTTGAAATCTCATATCACACAAACCACTATCTAGGAGGCAACGAACTCTTCGATTTCCCCTCGTATTCAGACAGCCGTTGAAGACAATGTGAAAGAAGGGTAGGAAGATGGGTTTCATTTTTATTATTACTTATTTAAAATGATGCTATCTGACTATCTCGAGGTGTAGGAGATAAAAGAGAGATTTTACTTTTATTTTTTAACTTTATTGAAATGATGCTATCAGACTGGCTAATCGCGTATAGTTAAGTGAAGACCCAAACTGGCCACGTGGCGGTTGGAGGGCGTGAGATAGAGCTATACGCAACGATATACCCTGGAAAACATTTATAAAAAGGGGATGTTTAGCGATTCCTCTGATTTTGCAGTATGAAAGTGAAGAGCCACAAGAGGTCGCCTCGGGTTCATTTCTATAAGCTGGGCATCGCTGGCAGCGACAAGGTGGTAATGAAGAAAGGCTGGGAACTACGATCACTGTCGTCATTCAAGCGGCAGTTTAAACATACGGAGGTAAGCCTCACCACTTTCAGCACTTCACTCAACGTGCAGAAGTAAGCCTTCTCCCTTCCATCAGTACACTCATGTATACAGAAGCAAGCCTTCTTCCTCCCATCACAACACTCAACATACAGAAGCAAGCCTTGCCCCTTCCATCACAACATTTAACATAGAGAAGTAAGCCTTCTCTCTTCCATCACTACACTCAACATACAGAAGTAAGCCTTCTTTATTCCATCACTACACTCAACATAGAGAAGTAAGCCTTCTCCCTTCCATCACTACACTCAACATACAGAAGTTAGCCTTCTCCCTTCCATCACTACACTCAACATATAGAAGTAAACCTTCTCCCTTCCATCACTACACTCAACATACAGAAGTAAGCCTTCTCCCTTCCATCACTACACTCAACATACATAAGTTAGCCTTCTCCCTTCCATCACTACACTTAACATACAGAAGTAAGCCTTCTCCCTTCCATCACTACACTCAACAGACAGAAGTTAGCCTTCTCCCTTCCATCACTACACTCAACAGACAGAAGTTAGCCTTCTCCCTTCCATCACTACACTCAACATACAGAAGTAAGCCTTCTTTATTCCATCACTATACTCAACATACAGAAGTAAGCCTTCTCCCTTCCATCACTATACTCAACAGACAGAAGTTAGCCTTCTCCCTTCCATCACTACACTCAACATACAGAAGTAAGCCTTCTTTATTCCATCACTATACTCAACATACAGAAGTAAGCCTTCTCCCTTCCATCACTACACTCAACATACAGAAGTAAGCCTTCTCCCTTTCATCACTAAACTCAATATCACAATGAATGTGTCAAGCATTTCTTTTTTCCAACATTCTGAAGCATAATGATTATTTTAAGAATTTTCTGGGACAATGTATGTTTTTCGATAAAATCACAGTCAATCAAATTGTCAGTCCCTAAGTTAACTGTGTTTCACTGTGTTCACTGTGTTTCACCGTGTTTCACCGTGTTTCACTGTTTTACTTTTCACCGTGTTTCACTGTTTAACTCTGTTTCACTATGTTTTCACTGTGTTTGTGTCGCAGCGCATCATCGACGTGTTGAAGATGGACGTGGAGGGTGCGGAGTGGAGTGCCCTGCCGCAGATGGTGTCGTCGGGGCAGCTGAGCCGGGTGCGACAGCTGTTTGTGGAATTCCACGGGGCATTCAAGGCCCGAGCCGCGTCCGTACCTGCCCTCAAGCTGCTGGAAGACCTGCACGCAATAGGCTTCCGCAAGTTCTATGTCCACAAGAACCGCGTTTGTCGTGTCAAGTCTCCAGATTTCCCCGTCTTGAGAACCGCGTGCTATGAGGTTCACTATGTGAATATCAATCTACTGGAATAAATGTCTTTGTACTGTTTTTAAACATTAAATTGTTTGGGTTAGCGCCACTGTGCTGTTAATATTAAGGCAGTGGTCCCACAACATCACCACTACACCAAAACTGCCGCACAGCTACAACACAACAACGCATACTTTACAGCTACGTCACAGTAAGACAATAACTACATCACAGGTACACTATAACTACATTGTACATCCCAGGTTCGTCACGTCTACATCATAACTTGTACATGACAGGTACGTCATAACTGCATTGTACATCACAGGTACGTCACAACTACATCATAACTTGTACATGACAGGTACGTCATAACTGCATTGTACACCACAGGTACGTCTCAACTACATCATAACTTGTACATGACAGGTACGTCATAGCTACATTGTACATCCCAGGTACGTCACAACTACGTCATAACTACTTTGTATATCACAGGTACGTCACAACTACGTCATAACTGCATTGTACATCACATGTACGTCACAACTACGTCATAACTACATTGTACATCACATGTACGTCACAACTACGTCATAACTACAATGTATATCCCAGGTACGTCACAACTACGTCATAACTGCATTGTACATCACAGGTACGTCACAACTACGTCATAACTTGTACATGCCAGGTACGTCACAACTACGTCATAACTGCATTGTATATCCCAGGTACGTCACAACTACGTCATAACTGCATTGTATATCCAAGGTACGTCACAACTACGTCATAACTACATTGTATATCCAAGGTACGTCACAACTACGTCATAACTGCATTGTACATCACAGGTACGTCACAACTACGTCATAACTACATTGTACATCACAGGTACGTCACAACTACATCATAACTTGTACATGACAGGTACGTCACAACTACGTCATAACTGCATTGAACATCCAAGGTACGTCACAACTACGTCATAACTGCATTGTACATCAAAGGTACGTCACAACTACGTCATAACTACATTGTATATCCCAGGTACGTCACAACTACGTCATAACGGCATTGCACATCACAGGTACGTCACAACTACATCACAACTACATCATAACTGCATTGTACATCACAGCTGCATTGTCTGATCTGGACCCGATTTTTTACAGACCGCCGTCAAATAGCTGGAATATTGCTGAGTACGGCGTTAAACAACATACATCACCACATCATTGCAACTAAATTGCCACCGCATTGAGACTAGGGTGTAGGGATGACAGGGAGAATCTAGAACTCCACCAAACCGGCTGTAGTGGTGGCGAATCTAAGACTCAAGTCAACGCGCGGGTGTGGCGATGACAGGGAAAATCTAGGACGCCAACCAACACGTGGCAATGATGACAGGGAGAATCTTGGACGCCAACCAACACGTTGCAATGATGACAGGGAGAATCTAGGACGCCAACCAACACGTTGCAATGATGACAGGGGGAATCTTGGACGCCAACCAACACGTTGCAATGATGACAGGGAGAATCTAGGACGCCAACCAACACGTTGCAATGATGACAGGGAGAATCTAGGACGCCAACCAACACGTTGCAATGATGACAGGGAGAATCTAGGACGCCAACCAACACGTTGCAATGATGACAGGGAGAATCTAGGACGCCAACCAACACGTTGCAATGATGACAGGGAGAATCTTTGACGCCAACCAACACGTTGCAATGATGACAGGGAGAATCTAGGACGCCAACCAACACGTGGCAATGATGACAGGGAGAATCTTGGACGCCAACCAACACGGGTGTGGCGATGACAGGGAGAATCTTGGACGCCAACCAACACAGGTGTGGCGATGACAGGGAGAATCTAGGCCGCCAACCAACACGTTGCAATGATGACAGGGGGAATCTTGGACGCCAACCAACACGGGTGTGGCGATGACAAGGAAAATCTAGGACGCCAACCAACACGTGGCAATGATGACAGGGAGAATCTAGGACGCCAACCAACACGGGTGTTGCGATGACAGGGAGAATCTAGGACGCCAACCAACACAGGTGTGGCGATGACAGGGAGAATCTAGGACGCCAACCAACACAGGTGTGGCGATGACAGGGAGAATCTAGGACGCCAACCAACACCGCTGTGGCGATGACAGGGAGAATCTAGGACGCCTACCAACACAGGTGCGGCGATGACAGGGAGAATCATGGACGCCAACCAACGGTGTTGCAATGACAGGAAGAATCTAGGACGCCTACCAACACAGGTGCGGCGATGACAGTGGGAATCTAGGACGCCAACCAACACGGGTGTTGCAATGACAGGGAGAATCTAGGACGCCTACCAACACAGGTGCGGCGATGACAGTGATAATCTTGGACGCCAACCAACACGGGTGTTGCAATGACAGGAATAATCTTGGACGCCAACCAACACAGATGTGGCGATGACAGGGAGAATCTAGGACGCCAACCAACACGGGTGTTGCAATGACAGTGGGAATCTAGGACGCCAACCAACACAGGTGCGGCGATGACAGGGAGAATCTTGGACGCCAACCAACACAGGTGTGGCTATGACAGGGAGAATCTAGGACGCCAACCAACACAGGTCCGGCGATGACAGGGAGAATCTTGGACGCCAACCAACACAGGTGTGGCGATGACAGGGAGAATCTAGGACGCCAACCAACACGGGTGTTGCAATGACAGGGAGAATCATGGACGCCAACAAACACAGGTGCGGCGATGACAGTGGGAATCTAGGACGCCAACCAACACGTTGCAATGATGACAGGGAGAATCATGGACGCCAACAAACACAGGTGCGGCGATGACAGTGGGAATCTAGGACGCCAACCAACACGTTGCAATGATGACAGGGAGAATCTAGGACGCCAACCAACACGGGTGTGGCGATGCCAGGGGAGAATCTTGGACGCCAACCAATACGGAGGTGGCGATGACAAGGAGAATTTTGGACAACAACCAACACGGGTTTGGCGATGACAGGAAGAATCTAGGACGCCAACCAACACGGGTGTAGCGATGACAGGGGGAATCTAGGACGCCAACCAACAGGGCTTGCGTTATAGTCTGGGAGAATCTTGGACGCCAACCAACGGTGTGGCGATGACAGGGGGAATCTAGGACGCCAACCAACACGTTGCAATGATGACAGGGAGAATCTTGAACGCCAACCAACACGGGTGTGGCGATGACAGGAGGAATCTTGGACGCCAACCAACACGGGTGTGGCGATGACAGGGAGAATCTAGGACGCCAACCAAAACGGGTGTGGCGATGACAGGGAGAATTTTGGACGCCAACCAACATGGGTGTGGCGATGACAGGGAGAATCTAGGACGCCAACCAACACAGGTGTGGCGATGACAGGGAGAATCTAGGACGCCAACCAAGACGGGTGTGGCGATGAAAGTGGAATCTTGGACTCCAACCAACACGGATGTGGCGATGACAGTGGGAATCTAGGACGCCAACCAACACAGGTGTGGCGATGACAGGGAGAATCTAGGACGCCAACCAACACGGATATGGCGATGTCAGGGGGAATCTTGGACTCCAACCGACACGGGTGTGGCGATGTCAGGGGGAATCTTGGACGCCAACCAACACAGGTGCGGCGATGACAGGGAGAATCTTGGACGCCAACCAACACGGGTGTGGCGATGACAGGGAGAATCTTGGACGCCAACCAACACGGATGTGGCGATGACAGTGGGAATCTAGGACTGCAGCTAACACGGGTTCAGTGGTGACATCGATACTCGAACCAACGCGTGTGCGTTGATGCCGAATCTGGAACGCCCACCATCACGGGTGTGGCTATGAGAGAGAATCTAAGCTAACACGGGTGCTCCCTCTTTCACAATGGACCCTTAATCGTTATAGCAACATTTTTCCAAGCATTAAGTGAGTAAGTGGGGTTTAAACCCCCTTTAACAGTATTCCAGTTATATCAAGGCGTGTCAGCTTAATGTGGGCGGCAGGTCTCGGACGTTTACCACTTCGGTGAAAACCACGAGCACGGGTATGGTGCTGACAAACATAGAAACATAATCGGGGCGAATCGGGATTCGAACCCACAATCATAGGTTTCTGGCGTGCCCAAGGGACGCACCTCTGCACAGCGTCCAAGCATGAAACTAGTTATTCTCAATAGGAATTTTCCGTTCATAAATTCTTGATAAACAGTTAAAAAATCAATATTCGGAGAATGTTGTATCCTTTAAAAATTTAAAACAATACATGTATACTCAACAACAAATGTTCCTGTGACACGAATATTTTAGTGTATTTTTCAAACAGAGTTTGATTTTCAATATTGTTGTACATGTATGGAATCAAGTCACAAAAACTACAACAGAAAAGCATGCATTCCATGCAAAAGATGACTTTTATGCAAGCCCCATGTATTGAATGGGTATTAAAACGTGCGTTAACGGGATTCCATATGCCTTGTTTAGCATCGTGTTGACAACAACCACTTAGAAAAACAACAAAATAACGCAATTATTCAACATTACGAAATGCCACGCCTGTCCGAAAATGAGCGTCTTGGTATGCTTGAAGCAGGATCGAGTCAACGTGATGTTGCAAGACAATTTAACGTCCACAGAAACACCATTTGGTGTTTATTGCAACGTTGGCAACAGACGAATGCAGTCAGAGACCACCCTCGGAGTGGCAGGCCACCCGTAACCAATAATGACAAGACGAAATCGATTCCAGCCAGCAACAGTGACTGCAAAAAGCATCCCTGGCCTTCGACGAATATCTTCACAAACCGTACGTCGCCGCCTCAGATGCGCAGGGATTGACGCCAGAAGACCAAGACGTCCCATTTTGTCAGGAAACCACCGTCAAGCACGTCTACAGTGGTGCAGACAGCGTCTATGTTTGGACGGATTCGAGTGTACCGACGTCCAGGTGAACGTTACGTGAATCATTGTTATGGAAGAAGATCGGTTCGGGGGCGGCAGCGTTATGGTATGGGTTGGGATTACAGCAAGACAGAGGACCCGTTTGATACTGGTAGAGGGAAATCTCAATGGACAGCGCTACCGCGACGAGATAATCGGCCCTGTTGTTCTACCGTTTTGTTGTCGTCATGGCCCAGGCATTACCTTTCAACATGACAACGCCCGGCCTCATATTGCTCGACTTGTTCAGGATTCTCTTCAACAAAACAACGTGAAAGTCATCCCCTGGCCGGCTCGCTCCCCTGATCTCTCACCAATCGAGCACATGTGGGATGAGATGGATCGGCGCCTTCGACGTCAACCACGTGTTCCACAGACACTCCAGGGACTTCGAAACATGATCCAGCAGATATGGACAGATATCCCACAGGACTTTGTGCGACGCCTGGTCCATTCCATGAGACGAAGATGAGTTGCTTGCATCGCAACCAGAGGTGGACACACACGCTATTGATTTGTAAATTGACATTGTGGCATGTTCATGTTTTTTTATGAAATCCCGCATTTTCTGAAGTCAGTATGGCAAATTATACCATTACTTTAGAATTCGTACCTTCAAAGGTTCTTAATAGAACACATTGAAATAGGGCATGATGTCTCAATATTATATGTGAGATATAGTTCGTCCTTGCTTTGAATCCAAAAGATAAATCGCGTAACGGGCATATTGTGTTTCGTCAAGTCATATCGCTCCAGCTTAAAGATACCAAAGAAGACTCTCGTTAAAACAGCGGAGGATCTAATACAAAGTTTATTATTATTAACGTAAAACGTATATTTTTTTGTTTTCGAATGAGGAAGTAAAAACGATTGCATTAAGTACATGTGTACTTATCACTTGGTAAGCTAGAGCCATTGGAACCCAAGATCGATACTGGCATCTACACATATGCTACATTATTCATGGAAGGATTAGATTACTCTGTGAGATATTGCATTTGTCATGGTGCCATGATCTTGAGGTATTAGAATTTCAAGGACGATATTGTAACTGATAGACATTCACCTAATACATCGACATAAAATATTCATTTGGTAGGATGACGAATTTTCAGATATCTGAATTGATTGAAATCAGTGAGCCTAAGGAACACAAGCATATATAATCCACGTGTTAACACAGACAACGAGTTAGTCATCAGAGGATCATACACATATGGTCTCACGCTCTCGGTGATAACTGGTTCAACATCAAGGTTAGTATTGTAAAATATGATTGTGTACGTTGTTTATTGTTTGTAGTTTTTTTAATCTTGTGTGCGTGTATATATACTCTTAAAAAAAAACAACTTGACATAGACCGCACATTGCACGTGTTTGTCAGGACTTCTTACACCACAACAACATCCAGACATTACCTTGGCCAGCCCGGTCACCAGATTTGTCCCCGATTGAGCATCTGTGGGACGAGTTGGATCGACGCGTTCGCAGAAGGAATCCACCGCCCCAAACACTTAAGGCGCTTCTCGATGCACTTCAGCATGAATTGCAGCACATCCAACAGCGTGTTATGTGTGCGTGTGTGTGTGTGTGTGTGTGTGTGTGTGTGTGTGTGTGTGTGTGTGTGTGTGTGTGCGTGCGTGCGCGCGCGCGTGCGTGTGTGTGTGTGTGTGTGTGTGGGGGGGGGGGGGGGGGGGGGGGGAGTGGGGAGTGTGTGGAGAGTGGGGAGCGGGTTACCTGTGTGTGTAAATGTATTTGTTTACCACAGTTGTGATATATTTATGTATAAATGTGTGTTTACTGCATGTGTGACACGTTTATGTTTAAATGTATATGTTTCTGCATATGTAATACGTTTATGTATATACGCGAAGGCTAACCCAGGAATCGACATTTGTGAAAACTAAAACTAAATTGTGAAACCACTTAATCACCACTCAAAAAATATACTCTGCAAAAAAAAAACCGCAAAAGAGACTTTTTTATATATACCCACACGCAAAAGAAACGCAAGTCGAGTATGCAGTATACATGTTATTTATTTTCAACAGTAAAGACAAAAAATACTAATAGGGCAAGATTAAAAAAGAATGGACTGAAGACAGTTTAATGGATTAAAAGGCAGATGACATAATTGTTTTTTTCAAATGTTAAGGGCTTACACAGTTTCGGGTCGATACCCAAAATGTCAGTCAATACCTGGCGTGACCACCATTAGTATTGGTCACTGCCACACATCTCCTGTATATTGAGTGGATCAGATTTGTGAAGGCCCTATGGATCCTCCTGCACACATCCAGAGCAGCTGTGCGTAGTTCATCGGCAGTTGTATGGACTGGGCGCACATTGTGCAGACGCCTTTGAACCTCATCCCACAAGTGTTCGATGGGGTTCAGATCAGGGCTGAGGTCTGGCCACGGTAGAACACGGATGTTGTGTTGTTGCAGAAAGGCCATGGTAGCTCTGGCAACATGGGGACGAGCATTGTCCTGCTGGAAAATGTGTTGTTGATGTTGTGCAAAAAATGGAACAACGTGGGGTCTGATCACTTGGTCGATATACCGCTGAGCTGAGCATTGACACCGGGTCCCCGACCTTGACCAACATTCAGAAACCACATGGGTCCAAGTCTCGCATTAAGTCCAATCCCTGCCAATATCATGACACTAGGTCCACCCCATGGATGCCTTTCCACAACGTTTCTGTCAGCGAAACGATCACCTCGACGCCGCTAAATTCTGACTCTTCCGTCTGCATGGGAGACACAAAAGCGACTTTCATCAGAGAAGATGACACACCTCCACTCACGATGACGCCAATTGCGATGACCCTGTGCCCACTGAAGTCGTGCTTGTCGATGCCGTGGTTGAAGAACAGGATCACGTGCTGGTCGGCGACATCTGAGGTTGTTGGAACGGAGACGTCGGATCACACTGTCCCGGTTAATGTGTCGATTATGTGTTCCTATGGTCTGTCGAGCACTTTCACTTGCAGTTAGGAACGAATGTCGCTGCTGTTGACGGATAATCGGCCGATCTTGTCGAGGTGTGGTGACCCTAGGACGACCGCTCCGAGGAAGGTCATCTGTGGTCTGTGTAGTATTGTATCGATGTAGGAGACGGTAAATTGTTGTTATGTTAACGTTGAAATGACGGGCAACATCTTGGACAGACTCTCCAGCTGGCACACCAGAAACCTATGATTGTGGTTTCGAATTCTGGTTCGCCCCGATTATGTTTCTATGTTTGTCAGCACCATACCCGTGCTCGTGGGTTTCACCGAAGTGCTAAACGTCTGAGACCTGTATCACCTCCGGCTTTCCTTCCACATTAAGCTGACACGCCGTGATATAACTAGAGTACGATTAAAAGCGGCGTTAAACCCAACTCACTCACTCACTCACTCAATAAACACATCGGGACTTACGTGTATCTGGAGTATATTTTTAGAAGCAAGACGTGTGAAATCAAAAATTATTCTTGAGGGATTCTTTGACTGAAGTACTTGAAGTCATATGCGAATTCTGATTGGTTTGTTGTATTTTCGCACATAATATTCATCGATAGGGGAATGAGTCTTCTTGCAGGGTACGGAAAGGGGCGAGTGGTGACGAATGATTCCAAGGTTTTGGTATGAAGGAGTTTATGCAGTCCATTTGGTGTTTTTTTTACCCTGGTTTTTCCTTGGTTTCGCACGCCCTTTCCGCTGGTGCGACATTATGGTGAGACTTAATGTATGACCAAGTTTGAAGCAAACCGAACAACCATGGACCATCCTACACATGCCCTGTTTACAATACCCACTGTTGAACCGACCACGAATTTCCAAGCCAACTGGAGTGAATGGGCCTTTCTTTGATGATTGGTCCATCAGTCGAAGCGACTTTGCAGCTCGTGTGTTCGGCTGTATTCCTGGTCATAAAAAACAATGGACTATGTGTCTTGAGCGCAGTATCTGCGTATGTCCTGTATGTATAAGATTATCATCCAGCTTTGATCAAATCACTCAAAACTCCAAGATTAGAATAAGCCCTAGCTTCTATTGTAACAATGTGACAGTTTTTTTGTTTTCGTCAGGCTGTATTCCAGTATAATACCATTATTTATGTCTACTTTCTGTCTTTGTTTGTCAAGTGCCTCAACCCACAAGAAAACTGTGAAATCACACTGTTGACCTTTCGATCCATGGGCGCCGCCATCTTGTTAATCTCGGCCCTCGCTCCAAGTGTGACCTTGACCCACATTTTCACGCTGTGAACTCGAACTTGCAGCGCTCGCCAGGTCACGTGGTTCGGAATTTTACATCTCCAACCTCTCAATTTCTTACTTTAAATCCTTCTTCGATGCTCTAATTTCAAACGTGCCAATTCATTAGTAAGTTCAGTGTATTCTGCCTCAATCGTTTCGATTTCACTGATGAGTTCTGTACCCGTGCCATTCGAGATACATACGGGCGGTCGGGTAGCCTAGTGGTTAAAGCGTTCGCTCGTCACGCCGAAGACCCGGGTTCGATTCACGACATGGGTACAATGTGTGAAGCCGATTTCTGGTGTCCCCCGCCGTGATATTGCTGGAATATTGCAAAAAGCGGCGTAAAACGATACTGACTCACTCACTCGAGATACAGAGTTCACTCCAGCGTCTCATGGCATTCACCCCGCTAGAACATGACGGTATCTTCAGGTTTCTCATGCGAACGATGACTCTATTATTTCTGCCATTCTATGGTCAGCCATAGACCTCTTTGGTCGAACATTTAGGCCTAAGTCAGGTTTAGACATACTTATATAGTCCACGTGACTTTCGAGTAGACAGGATTATGTTATGTTTGGGTTATGCATTTGCGTTTCGATAATTCAATAATTGGGTTGGTTATTAATTTGGCAGTAAATGACGTGATGGTAAAGCTTCACGTTTTGTTTATGTCTTTCATATATGTTTACCAATATAATTTATACCTTTTCTTGAGTATATTTCAGTTTATGTGTTTTTTCTTTTCTCCGCCAGATACGCCGCCATTTTAAGAGACAAAATGGCAAATAAAATGGGCATCGTCATATGGGTGTGTTCATTGATGTTTCTGTCACTGACTGATGGATCATCAGAAGATATCACCAACTCAAAGGGGTTATTCGGATCTAAGATGTGCGCATTCTTCTGTCGTCACATCTCAGGGTGCTCGCAGTCCCTGTTTTCCGATTCGACCTGCCAGATATATTCCATATGGTATTATACAGGAAACAGTACCGTGTGCAGTTCGTCAAGGGTCCGGATAAAGGTAACAAATAAAACGCATAATTGAGCAAAAATTTGAGCTGGGTTTTTCTAAAAACATAATCAAGACCCAGTTTTACTTATGATTTGCTATTCCTCGCAAAGTAGGAAAAGGCAATAATGTGTCAAGAATACAGTACGTTATTTTTTAAAAAAAACACCAATTGAGCAAGTGCTTTGTCTTGAAATAATATTTGAGCTCCTTGAACAAAAAAATACTGATCTCAGACCAAAATCCCCCCCCCCCCCCCCCCCCCCCCTACACACACACACACACACACACACACACACCATCCCTCTTAAAACCAAATGGTCTGTGACTATTGTTTTAGTACCATATGCAGTGGCACAACGGCATAATAACGATTTGACTATTAGTTGCCCATATTTTTATGAGTTCTTCATTATAAGTGGGGGAGGTAGGGTAGCCTAGTGGTTTAAGCTTTAGGTCGTCACGCCGAAGACCCGGGTTCGATTCCCCACATTGGTACAATGTGTGAAGCCCATTTTCCGGTGTCCCCCTCTGTGACATTGCAGCAATATTGTGAAAAGCGGCATAAAACCACACTCACTCACTCATTATTAGAGACGACAGTTGCAGCGTTGCCCTCTTTTTGGGTTCTTTTTTTTCTTTCTTTTCAGGTGATGACAATGGCCCGCGACAGCCAGTGTTGTCCGAAGTGTTATAAAATCATCCACTCGAGAACACTGTATCCCACATGCGTCGCATGTAAGTACGGCTACCATACGTCCCATCAAATCAGTAACACGTCGGTATTTATGCAGACAATTCTGGGCACACACATGTCAGTACAAAGCAGACTATAAAGAAGAACTTTCTGACTATTGATTCCATCTACTCCAGTCATTTCATTGTCCACGTCCGCGTGAATTGTCTGGTCCAGACTTGATTGTTTACAGGCCGCCGCCGTATGGCACGACGCTTACAGTGATACAATAACATAGGCTAATCCTATAGGTCTACCTGCAATTATCTTCCCGAGGCAAGGAAGCTAACTGACTATAAAAGTCAAGTTTCCATCCTTGCCGAACTAGGCTGGTATTATGGAATTACATTTTGGCTGGACTAACGAGATGCATAGTTCAATCAAAATCGCGCACCGAAATCGAAATCCGGTTCGTAAACTGTCGCACAGATTTCGGTCGATTGCAGGATTTGCAAAGCATGTGCACCGCCAACTCGTTGTCAACATATATTTTCCAAATCTTTTCAATTTTGTAATCAAGTTGCTCACATGATTTGATGCATTTTGCGATATAAGATCCGTTTTATCATAATATAGATCTTGATTGTTGATCAGATCGTCTTGTCTTGGCGCCGCCATTTTGTTTGAAACAAATGCAAGTGACACGAGAGGTGGAATCTGATTAGTCCATAGCAGAGGCATAGAAGGGACATAACTCGTAACAGCCACTGGTGGCGCTACAATCGAGCCCAGGAATTCCAGCCTAGTTCGGCAAGGGTGGAAACTGGACTTTTAAAGTCAGTTAACTCTCTTGCCTCGGGAAGATGACCTGCAATATTCACCTTTGATCTTCGTCAGTAACACTTGCTTATACATTTGTTTAAAGTCTTATCAGCTATAGCAGCTGCACCGACTATATATGACGTTTTTAAAAGTGCAATTGGGAACAATTCATCCCCACACCCGGCAAAAAATATGGTTTAGATCACTAACACATGATCCTAATCGTAGCTTGCCAATATTGTGAATTCTGACTATTGTCTTAACCTTTTCGAGAACATCTGGTGTCGACCCGTGAAGATCCGAGATAGAATAGGTCTTCTGCAACCCATCCTTGCCGTAAAGGGCGACTATGCTTGAGGCGACTAATGGGGTCGGGTGGGCAGGATCGCTGACTAGGTTGATGAATGTCATCGTATCCCAATTGCGTGGATCGATGCTCATCATGTCCATCACCGGATTGTCTGGTCCTGACTCGATTATTTACAGACCGCCGTCATATAGCTGTAATATTGCTGAGTGCGGCGTTAAACAACAAAAAAACAAACATGGTGTCCTCGCCGATTTTCAGTATTCCTTTAATATGATTTTTACCCTTTGCCACGTCTAATGGAAGCTTAGTATTACCTCAGGGGCTGTGATCAATGTGTTTCAATAGAGATCATAAGATTATCCAAATAAACCCAAAGACCAAATTAAATCATTACCATATAAAACCTAATATTTATTATTCATTTTTGTCACTGAAATTCTACAGTCTGTTTCGTAGCAACGCAAAGATAAGTTTTCCAGTTTCGGAAGGTGATTTTTCTTTCTCCAGCAGCGACTGAGGGGCCCATGGGGCATGGGAGGGAACCACTTGGTACTACAGACAATGGACATGATGAACGAGGCACACGTAAGTGTATAAAACATAGAAAGCTGGACTGACATGTTTGTTTTTGTTTGTTTGTTGCTTACCGCCGCACTCAGCAATATTCCAGCTATATGACGGCGGTCTGGAAATAATCGAATCTGAAACTGACAATCCAGTGATTGACATCATGCGCATCGATTCACGCAATTGGGATACGATGACATGCATCAACCAAGTCAGCGAGTCTGACCACCCGATCCCGTTAGTCGCCTCTTACGACAAGCATGGGTGTAGACACGTAGTCTTACTTCCATTGTGATGATGAGATGTTGAAAAATGCCGTTACAGTTTTTGTTTAATCATGCTTATTTTTGTATAACTAAACCCAAATGTAAAAGTAAAATATTCTTTCAGTTTTCTTTTAATTATATCAATCAGTTTCATTCTCATAGGTTTGCGCCAATCATATTTCTTGGCTTGTTAGCAACATACCTGTGCTCGTGTGCTTTACCAAAGTGTTATACGTCTGAGACATTCATCACTTCAGGCTTTCCTCCAACATCAAGCTGACATGCCGTGATATAACTGGAATATTGTTCAAAGCGGCGTTAAACCCAACTCACTCATTCATTCTCGTAATGTTTCTATCTTTTAATGACCAGGGACCCTTGCTCCTTCACAAAGACATGACCCTAAAGCACACGCCAACTTCATTCGTGCCTGCAGGAAGGGGGACCTTGCCCAGGTTAAACGCATCTTGTCTGAGAGTGCAGTGAACATCAACAATTTTAAATCCTGGGAAAAGCCACCAGTGATGCTAGCGGCAAGGTGGGGACGGAGAGAAGTTGTTGAGTTCCTTGTGGATAAAGGTGCTGATTTGTCACTAGTAGACAATTTGGGTAACACCATCCTTCACTGCGCCTGTATAGGGGGAAATGTAGAGATTGTGAAGTATCTTCTCTCACAGGCCATGTTAGACATCAACGGTGTGGGATTTCACGACAAAACACCATTGGCGTTTGCAGCAGGCTGTAAGCATATTGATGTGGTGGAGTTACTTGTGAAAGAAGGAGCTGATGTGACACGAGTGGACGATTTAGGTAACAACGTCCTCCACTGCGCCTGTATTGGGGGAGACGTGAAAACTGTGAAATATGTTCTGTCACATGGTCTAACAGACATTAATGCCAGGAACAAAATCGGGAAGACTGCAGCCGATCTAGCTAGAGACAAAGGCTATACAGAAGTGTGTGATCTTCTGGCTTCAAATGGCGCTTTTTAAAAGTGAAATGTGCCCCTGAAGGAAGAATCATACATTGTTATGTGTTGTGTACAACACATGACATAGTCTTTAAGTACTTCGGCAGAATTCTGTATTTAGAAGAGACATAAAAAGTTTTGAGAGGCTTGAGTTATTTAGTCATTGAATACATGATAATTTCCTTGGCTAGGAACACCGTTTGTAATACACTTGTGGGTATGATACGAAATACAAATGTAGAGAGCAGTGGCCCCATGTTTATATATTAGATACCTACGCGATAAATCGCAAAGAACAATGAAGAACGAAGCGTGGTTTATTTCACATTATTCTATGATGAAGTCATTTCTTGAAATTCGAACAAGCACTCGCAACTTGATAACGTCGTAAACTGGACGAACAAACAACGTTTGCATTACCTCGAGTAAGAATCTTGCAATTCCATTGGTTAATCCGTACCACGTGACGAAACAATACAATACACTGACCTCGAATATTGACTCACATGATCAAAATTAACCTGTCACGTGATGAATGCTTACTCGTCTGCTAGAAAACAAGATGGCGTCTAGTGAGAACAGTTTACGGTGCGTAGCTGAAACTGAGGGCGGTTAAAAGACTTAATAAACTTTAAAGTGAATTTCGATATAACAAAGCGAATGATCGGGTCCTTGTTTCCGCATATTGACCTCGTCAAGAATAATTATTTGTATAATAACTAGATTCACTGAAATATGATTATTGTTTCCATAAAACAGGCAAAGAAAGTGATTATTTACTAAAGAAATGAATTTGAGAGGATACATCATCAGTGTTTGGGAAATTTGAAATTTGGTTAAAATGATAATATATCATTCTATTCCTCCCCCTCTTTAAAAAGAATAGCGCAATTTACTTCTGTAGTATTGTGTAGTTGTTTTCTTTTAAATATGACAATGATAATAAAGTTATGTTCTTCTAAATCAACTCGAAACGATAATGTAATAATAGTTGACAATGTTATTAAAAACCCTGTTCAATGAAATGCAAATTATTGATTGAACATTAAAAGATTAGATTAGCAATACACAACTCATCAATAAATAATTATGTATTCTATTTTCTCAGCTATTTCAGTATGTTAAATATGCGGCCTAGCAAACACATAATTCGGAGTAAATGATTACATACATAAGCATGATTGATTCTTCAGTTATGGGAAGAAAACATTGATTGTTTTCACTACTTTAATCATTTCAAATGTGTTCTACATCTATGTCTTTGGCGATAAAGTAATTATTTACCGACATCTATGCGTTATTACGCCTTGTTTTGTGTCTACCTGAACCTAACACAATGTCCAAAATGTCATGCGTGAACTAATACATCAATATCGGTGAATAATTAATTTGTCACCTTGCCACTTCATAGAGCAATAGTTATGTTCTTTCAAACACGCAATAAACAGGTGCTTGTAATTGAGTCACATGATACATCACATGATATTTAATACTACTTCAATGTAAAAGAGCACTAATATTTTTTTTGTTAGGACAGGTTTTTCCTTAGATTTGGTAGATTTTGTTTCAGTTTCGCTTTGCTATTAGAGCTGTTATAGCAACACTCCTAATGGTAACTCTTAGCTAAGACTTTTCTTAGCGAGTTAAGAGTATTCTAAAGAAAATTCTGAATTGTATTTATCAATACGGAGGGGCGGTCGGGTAGCCTAGTGGTTAAAGCGTTCGCTCGTCACGCCGAAGACCCGGGTTCGATTCCCGACATGGGTACAATGTGTGAAGCCCTTTTCTGGTGTCCCCCGCCGTGATATTGCTGGAATATTGCTAAAAGCGGTGTAAAACAGTACTCACTCACTCACTCACTATTAATACGGACCCTGTATCGGATGTGCTAATGTTCAGTATGTAACCGATGCCTGAGTGATTGGTTGGTTGGTTGGTTTGTTATTTAACGCCGCACTCAGCAATATTCCAGCTATATGACGGCGGTCTGTAAACAACAGACAATCCAGTGATTAATATCATGAGCATCGATCCACGCAATTGGGATCGATGACATGCATCAACCAAGTCAACGAGCCTGACCACCCGATCCCGTTAGTCGACTCTTACGATAAGCATGGTCGCCTTTTACAGCAAGAAAGGGTTGCTGAAGACCTACTCTACCCCGGATTTTCACGGGTCTATGCCTGAGTGATCCAAGGCCTTACTGTTCTTACCCTTATTTATTTTTATATATTATTTTGTCCTATTTCGAAAAGCATTGTTTCATGTTCTAATAAAGTGCAGTAAACGTCACCCTGAACAGTATTCTCCCTCCCTGAAGGAGGGTCTGTAAATAATGCCTAACATATGGGAGTTACGATAACCTTAGCCCTGCGATAGCTTTGTGGAACGGACACCTGGATTCTAAAGGGTGGCCGTTGTATGGTAGTAAATTATTACATGTCAACTCTTGACGTGTTTGAAATATTATTCCGTTAAGGCCAATTGGATAATGCTTAGGATCGCGTAGATGTCTGCCTATTCACACACAGTGATTTTTAAAAAGTTATAAACGGCAAGCATATGAAACGAAAATATCCGCTCGGATTGACACCATCAAAACAAGAAAAGTTGGCAATGGATTTAACTTAAGCTTCAGGTATATCAAGGTCACATATCATTCAATAATGGTTAAAGAACCAATTCCCCTCCGCGGATTTCCCCACCTGAACAAGAAATAAAAGACCAGTGCAACCACCTCATTTGTTTCATAACTGAGTTTCCACAAGACGGTATGACATAGGGATGACATCAACTTTCCAATTGTCAATTTTCCCTTTATGTCGAGCCATACTCCATCTGCCCAAGCCTTTGGGTATCTACATTTCACTACTTTTTAATGTACAATCGAACATGCTCTTTCTACAAAGATTTAAAAGGGCGTCATACGACTCTTGCTTTGATAAGGTCTCAGTGAGTGAGTGAGTGAGTGAGTGAGTGAGTGAGTGAGTGAGTGAGTGAGTTGGGTTTAACGCCGCTTTTAACAGTATTCCAGTTATATCGTCAACTTAATGTGGGAGGAAAGACTGAAGTGATGCAGGTCAGGACGTTTACCACTTCGGTGAAACCAACGAGCACGGGTATGGTGCTGACAACCTAGACACATAATCGGGGCGAACCGGGATTCGAACCCACAATCATAGGTTTCTGCCGTGCCCAAGGGACGCAACTCTGCACAGCGAATCGCGGCGCCTTAGACGACTGGGCCACCCGTGCCCCCCGATAAGGCCTCAGTAGCGCTTTCATGAAACATGTGGAGGACATTTACAAAGTTGACGCATCAGTGACAAAACTATGTCCGATGGAATTCTGTATTTTCACTTGTACCATATGTTTCCGTGTGAACGGGTGCCATTGTGGGGCAGGATACGCTCACCTTTGCGCGAATACCTGGTATCATTACTATTTCATAGTGATTCGTAAACCCATGCTTATGGTATAGTCGGGTCGTACAATGGAGATGTCGTATGATTATGGAATGGCTTTTGTCTCTCATTTATTGTGTCTGACATTGATCTTGATGGACATGCATGTTGGTATTGATGGTTATCTCTAGACTGATTGGCTGACAGTCGTGTGGTGTATCGGATGATTGCTTTCACCACCACAAGGGAGGAATGATCACTTGGTACCGAACTTGTAAGGAGGGACGACTCGATTAATGAAAATGAAGATTTCATGGCTTTTTGCTTTAGCATTATTACTTTGGTGTGTAGTGTTTAGTTGTTGTGTGCAATTAGAAGGACTTTCGCCACGTCATGGTATCCAGGACAGAATTTCAACAGGATCCGTATACCAGATATTTCGCAAAACCACATTTGAACACTGTTCCCGGCTGTGTGTGTTCTCGTCGAGGTGTGCGTCCATCAACTGGATATCATCAGCTGGCGAATGTCAACTGAACTCCCAAGGTCTCAATACCCATGCTTGGCAGGCTTCGCCCGGTTCTGTGTACCTACCTTCGATTCTAATTCCACCACAGGTAAGATATGTGTGACTGATCCTGAAGAGGCCAATACTTTGTCCACATTAAGGGTTCAAAACAGGCATTTTTACTGTTATGGGTTTGGTATTCGAGTAACTAGAAGAATGCCTGTCTTGTTTAGATTGCACTGAATGTTTTTTCATGAAACAAGAAATGATGTCATTAGTGGAAGGTATGTCATTGTGAGAGTTAATGTTTATGCCAGAGTGTAAAAGCATCAAGTGTACCATGACGTTAGCTAGTGACATGTGCATTACATAAATACAGGATTTAACTGTTGTCTGCATATGCAGAAGGTCGAAACACAGGTTTATGTGTTAACGTTTGATTTTGGAATTATCTCTGTCCCATAACTTCAGAAGATCCTGTACCATGAATAAAAAAAATGCTTTCTTCTGCGCATATTACTTCGTATAGGCAATTCACTTAATCTCAACAGGCACATCATACGTCTATGGTCTCTATTACTGAAAGCTGTAACATTTTTTTAATATTCCATGTCCAGTAATATCTTAACGTGTGAATAGTACCTTAATTTACAAGACTCATAAATTTTCATCTGGATACTCTGTTTGTTACTATCCAACCAACGCTGTCTAAACAACTGCAACAAACACTAATATTCTGCTCGTGCCACACATAACCAAATGCATAAATGTCGAGTAAATATTTAACATGGGTGCCCAAGTAATTCTACCAAATTCATCAATATTATTAACAAATAACACTGTCGGGGATATCTTTCATCATTCATTATTATAAGTTTACACCAGTATTTAACACACTTCATATGATAATCCACTTGCAAACCATTTCTTCCACATCCAACCAATACTAGTATTGCTATGATACTTATGTACCAACTCCTAAAACAAATTTACAAAAATTAGTATGAAAAGTTTCGACAATTTGACTAGCTTTGCAACCTCAGATCTCCGCACCATAAAGAAGAATGGGCATTATCTTCATATCAAACAATTAAACAAAATGTTAACTGGCAAAGTAAAACTAACTGCAATTTTTTAATGACAAACAGAGCCTTTTTGGCTTTAATCTTGAAGGTATCAATGCATTTTGAAAACAGAACACCCAGATACCTATAGTAAGTACTAGCATTGATACGCTTATCATTCAAAAACCATCATTCATCAAACCTTGAAGTGCCACCTCTTCTGAAAACCCAAATTTAAGACATGTTAATTTAAATTCCCTACACATTACCAAAATTGGATCAAATATTTTTTCGCTGCAGACCTATTACAGTGTCATCGACTATACACAAATCATCTGCATATAGTAATGTGTCTATGAACTCCTCTCCAATATAAATCCCTCGCAAATCACTACTTTCTATTATAGACTGTAATTCAAGGATAAACATCGTGACAATAATGATTATCTTCTTTTATCGTTTTATTTCTTTTTGGAGTACACAAGGGTTAACTTGCTCTCATCGCTGTTGGTTAAAATACTGCCGTTGCAATATACATAGTTATCTCACTTGCCTGTTCTTCTGTAGGATGCACTCGACCCATACTATATGACAGGAAGATCCCCATACCTTGCATGACAAAAGCCTTCATCGGAAAGGTTAGATCAGCAATTATAGCATTTCGGTCTGAACTAGAACCAGTATGCCTCTCCGGGGCATACAGGAAGAATGAACACGTCAAGGTGATTCTATTAGTGTTGCTTTATACGTATTAAGAAAGTCGCCTGCAGTCGCCTTCACACAAACGAACCATATATCTAGACCTAATATCCCTGAGTAGAATACTATAATAAAACCCTGTGGGATTTCAGGGTACAATAGGTACCCAGTACCATTGTTAACGTTGTAAGAGGTGGCTTAATAGATTGCGTGGTCAGGCTTGGTGACTTCGCTAATTGATTGCCACTGAACATGGTGGATGCTTTGGAAAAAAACTTGTGTTGGGATTACAAAAAACACTTTGACACATTTGAGAGAAAAAATATGTTTAATCGCAACCCGAAAATACATTTGTCCCGTATAAACCATCCCTTACCCTTCCAAGCCTCGAATATCAAATGGTCGTCCGTCACTTACAGCCGTCTTTACTTTGTTGTGTACAGTTATTTATTATTTCGTTACACATTATTCAAAACGGTATGTATTTTTCTATAAACTCAAATACAAAAATAAAAATTGTAGTGATGCTTCGGAGTGTGACGCAAAACAACAAATTAAATTCAAATAATATTTTCTTGTAGGTGCATCCTTGCGCCGCGCGGCCATGTGGACCTGATGAAATGTGTGTCCCAGTAACTGCCTCTGCCACGCACTTATGTGTAACCATTCATCCACTCTCGGATAGGAGCAGTGCAGCACAAGGGACTACAACTACTGTTCCAACAACTGCGAAAAGTGATGCTCCATCAATCGTGAAACTCAGCGAGGCTGCATCTACAGAAACAACCAACGACGCTACATCTACAGTAACTACTGCAACGATAGTAACAATTGCTACATTCATACACACCGCCAATCATGCTGCATCTACAGTAACCAACAATGATGCTACAGATACAGTAACAAACACTGATCCTACATCTATAGTAACCAACACTGATGCTACATCTATAGTAACCAACACTGATGCTACATCTATAGTAACCAACACTGATGCTACATCTACAGTAACCAACACTGATGCTACATCTATAGTAACCAACAATGATGCTGCCCCTACAGTAACCAACACTGATGCTACATCTACAGTAACCACCAATGATGTTGCTCCTACAGTAACCAACACTGATGCTACATCTACAGTAACAAACACTGATGTTACATTTACAGTAACCACCAATGATGCTGCCCCTACAGTAACCAACACTGATGCTACATCTACAGTAACAAACACTGATGTTACATCTACAGTAACCATCAATGATGCTGCTCCTACAGTAACCAACACTGATGCTACATCTACAGTAACAAACACTTATGTTACATCTACAGTAACCACCAATGATGCTACATCTACAGTAACCACCAATGATGCTACATCTACAGTAACCAACACTGATGCTACATCTACAGTAGCCAACACTGATGCTACATCTACAGTAACAAACACTTATGTTACATCTATAGTAACTAACACTGATGCTACATCTACAGTAGCCAACACTGATGCTACATCTATAGTAACAAACACTTATGTTACATCTACAGTAACTAACACTGATGCTACATCTACAGAAACCACCAATGATGCTGCTCATACAGTAACCAACACTGATGCTACATCTACAGTAACTAACACTGATGCTACATCTACAGTAACCACCAATGATGCTACATCTACAGTAACCAACACTGATGCTACATCTACAGTAACTAACACTGATGCTACATCTACAGAAACCACCAATGATGCTGCTCATACAGTAACCAACACTGATGCTACATCTACAGTAACCAACACTGATCCTACATCTACAGTAATGAACACTGGTGATACATCTACACTAACAAACACTCATCCTACATCTACAGTAACCAACACTGATGCTACATCTACAGTAACCAACACTGATGCTACATCTACAGTAGCCAACACTGATGCAACATCTACAGTAACCAACACTGGTGATACATCTACACTAACAAATACTGATCCTACATCTATATTAACCAACACTGATGCTACATCGACAGTAACCAACACAGATGTTACATCTACAGTAACCAACATTGGTGATACCTCCACAGTAACCAATACTGATCCTAAATCTACAGTAACCAACACTGATGCTTCATCTACAGTAACCAATAATGAGGCTACATCTACAGTAACTAATAATGATGCTACATCTAGAGTTACCAATCATGATGCTACATCTACAGTAACCAACACTGATGCTACATCTACAGTAACCAACAATGAGGCTACATCTACAGTAACCAACACTGATGCTACATCTACAGTAACCAACAAGGATGCTACATCTACAGTAACCAACACTGATACTACATCTACAGGAACCAACACTAATGCTACATCAACAGTAACCAACACTAATGCTACATCTACAGTAACCACCAATAATACTTCATCTACAGTAACCAACAATGAGGCTACATCGACAGTAACCCACACTGATGCTACATCTACAGCAACCAACAGTGATGCTACATCTACAGTAACTACCAATAATGCTACATCTACAGTAACCAATAATGAGGCTACATCTACAGTAACTAATAATGATGCTACATCTAGAGTAACCAATCATGATGCTACATCTACAGTAACAAACACTGATGCTACATCTACAGTAACAAACACTGACGCTACATCGACAGTAACCAACACTGATGCTACATCTACAGTAACCAACACTGATGCTACATCTACAGTAACCAACACTGATGCTACATCTACAGTAACCAACAATGATGCTACATCTACAGTAACCTCCACAGATGCTACATCTACAGTAACCAACAATCAGGCTACATCTACAGTAACCAACAATGAGGCTACATCGACAGTAACCAACACTGATGCTACATCTACAGTAACCAACACTGATGCTACATCTATAGTAACCAACACTGATGCTACATCTTCAGTAACCAACACTGATGCTACATCTATAGTAACCAACACTGATCCTACATCTACAGTAACCAACACTGATTCTACATCTACAGTAACCAACACTGATACTTCCCATACAGTAACCAACACTGATGCTACATATACAGTAACCACCAATGATGTTGCCCCTACAGTAACCAACACTGATACTACATCTACAGTAACCAACACTGATGCTACATCTACAGTAACCAACAATGAGGCTACATCTACAGTAACCAACAATGAGGCTACATCGACAGTAACCAACCCTGATGCTACATCTACATTAGCCAACACTGATGCTACATCTACAGAAACCACCAATGGTGCTACATCTACAGTAACCAACACTGGTGATACATCTACAGAAACCACCAATGGTGTTACATCTACAGTAACAAACACTGGTAATACATCTACAGTAACCTCCACTGATGCTACATCTACAGTAACCAACACTGATGTTACATCTATAGTAACCAACACTGATGCTACATATACAGTAACCAACACTGATGCTACATCTACAGTAACCAACAATGAGGCTACATCTACAGTAACCAACACTTATGCTACATCTACAGTAACCAACACTGATGCTGCATCTACAGTAACCAACACTGATGATACATCTACAGTAACCAACACTGATGCTACATCTACAGTAACCAACACTGATACTACATCTACAGTAACCAACACTGATGCTACATCTACAGTAACCAACAATGAGGCTACATCTACAGTAACCAACACTGATCCTACATCTACAGTTACCAACAATGATGCTACATCTACAGTAACCAACACTGATGCTACATCTACAGTAACCAACAATGAGGCTACATCTACAGTAACCAGCACTGGTGATACATCTACAGTAACCACCAATGATGCTCCATCTACAGTAACCAACACTGATGCTGCATCTACAGTAACCACCAATGATGCTTCATCTACAGTAACCAACACTGATGCTACATCTACAGTAACAAAGAATGATGCTGCATCTTCACTAACCAACACTAATGCTACATCTACAGTAACCACAAATGATCCTGCTCCTACAGTAACCACATATCATGCTGCTCCAAAAGTAACCAACACTGATGCTGCATCTACAGTAATCAACACTGATGCTACATCTACAGTAAGCACAGATGATCCTGCTCCTACAGTAACCACCCATCATGCTGCTCCTACAGTAACCAACACTGATGCTGCATCTACAGTAATCAACACTGATGCTACATCTACAGTAACCAACAATGATGCTACATCTATAGTTTCCAACACTGATGATACATCTACAGTAACCACCAATGATGCTACATCTATAGTAACAAACAAGGATGCTGCATCTACAGTAACCAACACTGAAGCTGCTCCTACAGTAACCAACACTGATGCTACATCTACAGTAACCAATAATAATGCTACATCTACAGTAACCAATACTGATGCTACATCTACAGTAACAAACACTGATGCTGCTCCTACAGTAACCAACACTGATGGTACATCTACAGTAACCAATAATAATGCTACATCTACAGTAACCAACACTGATGCTACATCTACAGTAACCAATAATAATGCTACATATACAGTAGCCAACACTGATGCTACATCTACAGTAGCCAACAATGGTGCTACATCTACAGTAACCAACAATGATGATGCTCCTACACTAGCCAACACTGATGCTGCATCTACAGTAACCAACACTGATCCTACATCTACAGTAACCACCTATGATGCTGCTCCTACAGTAGCCAACACTGATGCTGCATCTACGGTAGCCAACACTGATGCTGTATCTACAGTAGCCAACACTGATGCTGCTCCTACAGTAGCCAACAATGATGCTACATCTACAGTAGCCAACACTGATGCTACATCTACAGTAACCACCTATGATGATGCTCCTACAGTAGCCAACAATGATGCTGCATCTACAGTAACCAACACTGATACTACATCTACAGTAGCCAAAAATGATGCTGCATCTACAGTAACCAACAATGGTCATACATCTACAGTAACCAACACTGATGCTTCATCTACAGTAACCAACAATGATGATGCTCCTACACTAGCCAACACTGATGCTGCATCTACAGTAACCAACACTGATCCTACATCTACAGTAACCACCTATGATGCTGCTCCTACAGTAGCCAACACTGATGCTGCATCTACGGTAGCCAACACTGATGCTGTATCTACAGTAGCCAACACTGATGCTGCTCCTACAGTAGCCAACAATGATGCTGCATCTACAGTAGCCAACACTGCTGCTGCTCCTACAGTAACCAACACTGATGATACATCTACAGTAACCAGCACTGATGATACATCTACAGTAACCACCAATGATGCTTCATATACAGTAACCAACACTAATGCTGCATCTACAGTAACCAACACTGATGCTACATCTACAGTAACCAAGAACGATGCTGCATCTACACTAACCAACACTGATGCTACATCTACAGTAACCACAGATGATCCTGCTACTACAGTTACCAACTATGAAGCTGCATCTACAGTAATCAACACCGATGCTACATCTACAGTAACCAACACTGATGCTACATCTAGAGTAACAAACACTGATCCTACATCTACAGTAACCACCACTGATGCTACCTCTGCAGTAACCATCAATGATGCTACATCTACAGTAACCAACACTGGTGATACATCTACAGTAACCACCAATGATGCTACATTTACAGTAACCAACACTGATGCTGCATCTACAGTAAGAAACAATTATGGTACATCTACAGTAACCAACACTGGTGATACATCTACAGGAACCACCAATGATGCTACATCTACAGTAACAAACAAGGAAGCTGCATCTACAGTAACCAACACTGATGCTACGTCTACAGTAGCCAACACTGATGCTACGTCTACAGTAACTAACAATGATGCTACATCTACAGTAGCCAACACTGAAGCTGCTCCTACAGTAGCCAACACTGATGCTACATATGCAGTAACCAATACTGATGCTACATCTACAGTAACCAACACTGATCCTACATTTATAGTAACCAACACTGATGCTATATCTACAGTAACCAACACTGATGCTACATATACAGTAACCAACAACTTAGCTTCATCTACAGTAACCAACACTGATGCTACATCTAGAGTAACCACCTATGATGCTGCTCCTACAGTAACCAACAATGATGCTGCATCTACAGTAACAAACACTGATGCTACATCTACAGTAGCAAACAATGATGCTGCATCTACAGTAACCAACAATGAGGCTACATCTACAGTAGCCAACACTGATGCTTCATCTACAGTAACCAGCACTGGTGATACATCTACAGTAACCACAAATGATGCTTCATCTACAGTAACCAACACTGATGCTGCACCTACAGTAACCAACACTGATGCTACATCTACAGTAACCACGAATGATGCTGCATCTACAGTAACCAACACTGATGCTACATCTAAAGTAACCACAAATGATCCTGCTCCTACAGTAACCACCTATCATGCTGCTCCAAAAGTAACCAACACTGATGCTACATCTACAGTAACCACAGATGATCCTGCTCCTACAGTAACCACCCATCATGCTGCTCCTACAGTAACCAACACTGATGCTACATCTACAGTAACCGACAATGATGCTACATCTACAGTAGCCAACACTGATGATACATCTACAGTAACCACAGATGATCCTGCTCCTACAGTAACCACCCATCATGCTGCTCCTACAGTAACCAACAATGATGCTACATCTACAGTAACCGACAATGATGCTACATCTACAGTAGCCAACACTGATACTACATCTACAGTAACCAGCACTGGTGATACATCTGCAGTAACCACCAATGATGCTTCATCTTCAGTAACAAACACTGATGCTGCATCTACAGTAATCAACACTGATGCTACATCTACAGTAATCAACACTGATGCTACATCTATAGTAACCAACACTTATGCTACCTCTGCAGTAACCATCAATGATGCTACATCTACAGTAACCCCCAATGATGCTACCTCTGCAGTAACCATCAAAGATGCTTCATCTACAGTAACCAGCACTGGTGATACATCTGCAGTAACCACCAATGATGCTTCATCTTCAGTAACAAACACTGATGCTGCATCTACAGTAATCAACACTGATCCTACATCTACAGTAACCACCACTGATGCTACCTCTGCAGTAACCATCAATGATGCTACATCTACAGTAACCCCCAATGATGCTACCTCTGCAGTAACCATCAAAGATGCTTCATCTACAGTAACCAACACTGGTGATATATCTACAGTAACCACCAATGATGCTACATTTACAGTAACAAACAAGGATGCTGCATCTACAGTAACCAACACTGATGCTACGTCTACAGTAGCCAACACTGATGCTACATCTACAGTAGCCAACACTGATGCTACGTCTACAGTAGCCGACAATCATGCTACATCTACAGTAGCCAACACTGAAGCTGCTCCTACAGTAGCAAACACTGATGCTACATCTATAGTAACAAACACTGATGCTACATCTACAGGAACCAACACTGATGCTGCCCCTACAGTAACCAACACTGATGCTACATCTATAGTAACAAACACTGATGCTACATCTACAGTAACCAACACTGATGCTACATCTACAGTAACCAACATTGATGCTACATCTACAGTAACCAACTATGATGCTACATCTACAGTAACCAACACTGATGCTACATATACAGTAACAAACACTGATGCTACATCTATAGTAACCACCAATGATGCTGCCTCTACAGTAACCAACAATGATGCTGCATCTACAGTAACCAACACTGATGCTGCATCTACAGTAACCAACAATGATGCTACATCTATAGTAACCAACACTGATGCTACATATACAGTAACCAACACTGATGCTACATCTATAGTAACCACCAATGATGCTGCCTCTGCAGTAACCAACAATGATGCTGCATCTACAGTAACCAACACTGATGCTGCATCTACAGTAACCAACAATGATGCTACATCTACAGTAACCAACACTGATGCTCCATCTACAATAGCCGACAATGATCCTACATCTACAGTAGCCAACACTGATGCTACATCTACAATAGCCGACAATGATCCTACATCTACAGTAGCCAACACTGATGCTACATCTAGAGTAACCAACACTGATGCTACATATACAGTAACCAACACTGATGCTACATCTATAGTAACCACCAATGATGCTGCCTCTACAGTAACCAACAATGATGCTGCATCTACTGTAACCAACACTGATGCTGCATCTACAGTAACCAACAATGATGCTACATCTACAGTAACCAACACTGATGCTACATCTACAATAGCCGACAATGATCCTACATCTACAGTAGCCAACACTGATGCTACATCTACAATAGCCGACAATGATCCTACATCTACAGTAGCCAACACTGATGCTACATCTACAGTAACCAGCACTGGTGATACATCTACAGTAACCACCAATGATGCTGCATCTACACTAACCAGCACTGATGCTACATCTACAGTAACCACAGATGATCCTGCTCCTACAGTAACCACCTATCATGCTGCTCCAAAAGTAACCAACACTGATGATACATCTACAGTAACCAACACTGATGCTACATATACAGGAACCAACACTGATGCTACATATACAGTAACCAACACTGATGATACATCTACAGGAACCAACACTGATGCTACATATACAGTAACCAACAATTTAGCTTCATCTACAGTAACCAACACTGATGCTACATCTAAGGTAACCACCTATGATGCTGCCTCTACAGTAACCAACAATGATGCTGCATCTACAGTAACCAACACTGATGCTGCATCTACAGTAACCAACACTGATGCTACATCTACAGTAACCAACACTGATGCTACATCTACAATAGCCGACAATGATCCTACATCTACAGTAGCCAACACTGATGCTACATCTACAGTAACCAGCACTGGTGATACATCTACAGTAACCACCAATGATGCTTCATATACAGTAACCAACACTGATGCTGCATCTACAGTAACCAACACTGATGCTACATCTACAGTAACCACGAATGATGCTGCATCTACACTAACCAGCACTGATGCTACATCTACAGTAACCACTGATGATCCTGCTCCTACAGTAACCAACACTGATGCTGCATCTACAGTAATCAACACTGATGCTACATCTACAGTAACCAAAAATGATGCTACATCTAGAGTAACCAACACTGATATTGCTCCTTCAGTAACCAACACTGATGCTACATCTACAGTAACCAACACTGATGCTACATCTAGAGTAACCAACACTGATGCTACATCTACAGTAATCAACACTGATGCTACATCAACAGTAACCAACACTGATGCTACATCTAGAGTAACCAACACTGATCCCATATCTACAGTAGCCACCACTGATGCTACCTCTGCAGTAACCATCAATGATGCTACATCTACAGAAACAAACAAGGATGCTGCATCTACAGAAACCAACACTGAAGCTGCTCCTACAGTAGCCAACACTGATGCTACATATGCAGTAACCAATACTGATGCTACATCTACAGTATCCAACACTGGTGCTACATCTATAGTAACCAACCCTAATGCTACATCTACAGTAACCAACACTGATGCTACATCTACAGTAACCACCAATGAGGCTACATCTACAGTAACCAACACTGATGCTACATCTACAGTAACCAACAATTTAGCTTTATCTACAGTAACCAACACTGATGCTACATCTACATTAACCAACACTGATGCTGCATCTACAGTAACCAACAATAATGTTACATCTATAGTAACCAACACTGATGCTACATCTACAGTAACCAACACTGATGCTACATCAACAGTAACCAACACTGATGCTGCATTTACAGTAACCAACACTGATGCTGCATCTACAGTAACCAACACTGATGCTTCATCTACAGTAACCACCTATGATGCTGCTCCTACAGTAGCCAACACTGATGCTGCATCTACAGTAACCAACACTGATCCTACATCTACAGTAACCAACTATGATGCTGCTCCTACAGTAACCAACACTGATGCTACAACCCCAGTTACCACCAATGATGCTACATCTGCAGTTACCACCAATGATGCTACATCTGCAGTTACCAACACTGATGCTACATATACAGTAACCAACAATTAAGCTTCATCTACAGTAACCAACACTGATCCTACATCTACAGTAACCAACTATGATGCTGCTCCTACAGTAACCAACACTGATGGTACAACCCCAGTTACCACCAATGATGCTACACCTCCAGTGACCAACAATAATGCTACATCTGCAGTAACCAATGATGCTACATCTACAGTAACCAACACTGATGCTACGTCTACAGTAGCCAACACTGATGCTACGTCTACAGTAGCCAACACTGATGCTACGTCTACAGTAGCCAACACTGATGCTACGTCTACAGTAGCCAACACTGATGCTGCATCTACAGTAACCAACACTGATCTTACATCTACAGTAACCAACTATGATGCTGCTCCTACAGTAACCAACACTGATGCTACAACCCCAGTTACCACCAATGATGCTACACCTCCAGTGACCAACAATGATGCTACATCTACAGTAACCAACAATAATGCTACATCAACAGTAACCAACACTGATGCTACATCTACAGTAGCCAACACTGATGCTGCATCTACAGTAACCAACAATGATGCTGCTCCTACAGTAACCAACACTGATGGTACAACCCCAGTTACCACCAATGATGCTACACCTCCAGTGACCAACAATAATGCTACATCTGCAGAAACCAATGATGCTACATCAACAGTAACCAACACTGATGCTACATCTACAGTAACCAACACTGATCCTACATCTACAGTAACCAACTATGATGCTGCTCCTACAGTAACCAACACTGATGGTACAACCCCAGTTACCACCAATGATGCTACACCTCCAGTGACCAACAATGATGCTACGTCTACAGTAGCCAACACTGATGCTACGTCTACAGTAGCCAACACTGATGCTACGTCTACAGTAGCCAACACTGATGCTACGTCTACAGTAACCAACACTGATGCTACGTCTACAGTAACCAACACTGACGCTGCATCTACGGTAACCACCTATGATGCTACATCTCCAGTGACCAACAATGATGCTACAACCCCAGTTACCACCAATGATGCTACAACCCCAGTTACCACCAATGATGCTACATCTACAGTAACCAACAATGATGCTACAACCCCAGTTACCACCAATGATGCTACATCTACAGTAACCAACAATAATGCTACATCTACAGTAACCAACAATGATGCTACATCAACAGTAACAAACACTGATGCTACAACCCCAGTTACCACCAATGATGCTACACCTCCAGTGACCAACACTGATGCTACAACCCCAGTTACCACCAATGATGCTACACCTCCAGTGACCAACAATAATGCTACATCTACAGTAACCAACAATGATGCTACAACCCCAGTTACCACCAATGATGCTACATCTACAGTAACCAACACTGATGCTACAACCCCAGTTACCACCAATGATGCTACACCTCCAGTGACCAACAATGATGCTACATCTACAGTAACCAACACTGATGCTACATCAACAGTAACCAACACTGATGCTACATCTACAGTAACCAACACTGATGCTACATCAACAGTAACAAACACTGATGCTACAACCCCAGTTACCACCAATGATGCTACACCTCCAGTGACCAACACTGATGCTACAACCCCAGTTACCACCAATGATGCTACACCTCCAGTGACCAACAATAATGCTACATCTACAGTAACCAACAATGATGCTACAACCCCAGTTACCACCAATGATGCTACATCTACAGTAACCAACACTGATGCTACAACCCCAGTTACCACCAATGATGCTACACCTCCAGTGACCAACAATGATGCTACATCTACAGTAACCAACACTGATGCTTCATCAACAGTAACCAACAATGATGCTACATCTACAGTAACCAACACTGATGCTACATCAACAGTAACAAACACTGATGCTACAACCCCAGTTACCACCAATGATGCTACACCTCCAGTGACCAACACTGATGCTACAACCCCAGTTACCACCAATGATGCTACACCTCCAGTGACCAACAATAATGCTACATCTACAGTGACCAACAATGATGCTACAACCCCAGTTACCACCAATGATGCTACATCTACAGTAACCAACACTGATGCTACAACCCCAGTTACCACCAATGATGCTACACCTCCAGTGACCAACAATGATGCTACATCTACAGTAACCAACACTGATGCTACACCTCCAGTGACCAACACTGATGCTACATCTACAGTAACCAACACTGATGCTACATCTACAGTAACCAACACTGATGCTACACCTCCAGTGACCAACACTGATGCTACATCTACAGTAACCAACACTGATGCTACATCTACAGTAACCAACACTGATGCTACACCTCCAGTGACCAACAATGATGCTACATCTACAGTAACCAACAATGATGCTACATCTACAGTAACCAACACTGATGCTACATCTACAGTAACCAACAATGATGCTACAACCCCAGTTACCACCAATGATGCTACATCTACAGTAACCAACACTGATGCTACAACCCCAGTTACCACCAATGATGCTACACCTCCAGTTACCAACAATGATGCTACAACCCCAGTTACCACCAATGATGCTACATCTACAGTAACCAACACTGATGCTACATCAACAGTAACAAACACTGATGCTACAACCCCAGTTACCACCAATGATGCTACACCTCCAGTGACCAACAATGATGCTACATCTACAGTAACCAACACTGATGCTACAACCCCAGTTACCACCAATGATGCTACACCTCCAGTGACCAACACTGATGCTACATCTACAGTAACCAACAATGATGCTACAACCCCAGTTACCACCAATGATGCTACATCTACAGTAACCAACACTGATGCTACAACCCCAGTTACCACCAATGATGCTACACCTCCAGTGACCAACACTGATGCTACATCTACAGTAACCAACACTGATGCTACACCTCCAGTGACCAACACTGATGCTACATCTACAGTAACCAACACTGATGCTACAACCCCAGTTACCACCAATGATGCTACACCTCCAGTGACCAACAATGATGCTACATCTACAGTAACCAACACTGATGCTACATCTACAGTAACCAACAATGATGCTACAACCCCAGTTACCACCAATGATGCTACATCTACAGTAACCAACACTGATGCTACATCAACAGTAACAAACACTGATGCTACAACCCCAGTTACCACCAATGATGCTACACCTCCAGTGACCAACAATGATGCTACATCTACAGTAACCAACACTGATGCTACAACCCCAGTTACCACCAATGATGCTACACCTCCAGTGACCAACACTGATGCTACATCTACAGTAACCAACAATGATGCTACAACCCCAGTTACCACCAATGATGCTACATCTACAGTAACCAACACTGATGCTACAACCCCAGTTACCACCAATGATGCTACACCTCCAGTGACCAACACTGATGCTACATCTACAGTAACCAACACTGATGCTACACCTCCAGTGACCAACACTGATGCTACATCTACAGTAACCAACACTGATGCTACATCTACAGTAACCAACACTGATGCTACATCTACAGTAACCAACACTGATGCTACATCTACAGTAACCAACACTGATGCTACATCTACAGTAACCAACACTGATGCTACATCTACAGTAACCAACAATGATGCTACATCTACAGTAACCAACACTGATGCTACACCTCCAGTGACCAACAATGATGCTACAACCCCAGTTACCACCAATGATGCTACACCTCCAGTAACCAACACTGATGCTACAACCCCAGTTAGCACCAATGATGCTACATCTACAGTAACCAACACTGATGCTACATCTACAGTAACCAACACTGATGCTACACCTCCAGTGACCAACAATGATGCTACAACCCCAGTTACCACCAATGATGCTACATCTACAGTAACCAACACTGATGCTACAACCCCAGTTAGCACCAATGATGCTACATCTACAGTAACCAACACTGATGCTACATCTACAGTAACCAACACTGATGCTACACCTCCAGTGACCAACAATGATGCTACATCTACAGTAACCAACACTGATGCTACAACCCCAGTTAGCACCAATGATGCTACATCTACAGTAACCAACACTGATGCTACATCTACAGTAACCAACACTGATGCTACAACCCCAGTTACCACCAATGATGCTACACCTCCAGTAACCAACACTGATGCTACAACCCCAGTTACCACCAATGATGCTACACCTCCAGTGACCAACAATGATGCTACATCTACAGTAACCAACACTGATGCTACATCAACAGTAACCAACACTGATGCTACATCTACAGTAACCAACAATGATGCTACACCTCCAGTTACCAACACTGATGCTACATCTACAGTAACCAACACTGATGCTACACCTCCAGTGACCAACAATGATGCTACATCTACAGTAACCAACACTGATGCTACAACCCCAGTTAGCACCAATGATGCTACATCTACAGTAACCAACACTGATGCTACATCTACAGTAACCAACACTGATGCTACACCTCCAGTGACCAACAATGATGCTACATCTACAGTAACCAACAATGATGCTACACCTCCAGTTACCACCAATGATGCTACATCTACAGTAACCAATGATGCTACAACCCCAGTTACCACCAATGATGCTACATCTGCAGTAACCAATGATGCTACAACCCCAGTTACCACCAATGATGCTACATCTGCAGTAACCAATGATGCTACAACCCCAGTTACCACCAATGATGCTACATCTGCAGTAACCAATGATGCTGCAATCCCAGTTACCAACAATAATGCTGCATCTACAGTAATCACAAATGATGATGCTCCTACAGTAACCAACAATCACAATGATGTGACATCTACAGTAACAACCCTTGCTGCGAAGACCAAAGGTCTTCCCAAGTTTAAGATTTCTCTTCTGCCATGATGAAACATTTCATGATCAACTGTTCGAAATTGCTCTTGCTTCAGTGAGATGCATCTCTTTATGGTTCTGGGTTTATATTGACGGACAAGTAACCCGATGGCACAGAGAGATAAGTTAGCATTGCCCCCAGTTCAAAGATGGTCCGTGATGTCAGAGATGTTACTGCTTCGTGACCTAGATACTTTTACCTGCGACATGAGCAGACACTGGTGCCGAGACAAGTAAGGGCCAAGTACTGTCAGGGACACGTGGCTGGCCTAGACTTGATAATCATATCATATTCGACGTAATAAGCGACCAGGGCGGTCTCAAAATTAGAAATAGGGGGCTCTTATTACAATATAATTTTGGTGAGACAAAAACAGAGTTGATAGATCGTACATTTCGTGGTTTATGCTGTCAGCCTGAAATAATACAAAAGGAAAAGTCTGTGCGTATTATACACAACAGATATATTTTCCAGAATTTAATTGCCCATAATTAAGATGCATATAAAATACGAATGTGTATTATACACGAATAAATTAGTTTTGTGTACAGTGATCAGTCGGAAGGGGTGCTAATTGGGATTGTTCACAAGCCAATATCTCAACAAATATCGCCGTGGGCGCATATTTCGTCGAATACGTCAATTCTTTATGTGGGAACTTGGCATAATGGAAAGATGGATTGTCTGGACCAGACTCGATTATTTACAGACCGCCGTCACATAGCTGGAATACTGCTGAGTGCGGCGTTAATCAACCAACCAACCAACCAATCCATCCATGTGAGTTTCCTACTAAACTTTGCTACCGGTAGGACAGGATATGCTTAACCTTTTCGAGAACACCTGGTGTCATCACTGATTTTCCATTCATATCATATTCACAACTATTTAGCGCCAAATGGCATCTATTTCGGTGGAGGGGCACGGGTGGCCCAGTCATCTAAGGCGCCGCGATTCGCTGTGCAGAGTTGCGTTCCTTGGGCACGCCAGAAACCTATGATTGTGGGTTCGAATCCCGGTTCGCCCCAATTATGTTTCTAGGTTTGTCAGCACCATACCCGTGCTCGTGGGTTTCACCGAAGTGGTAAACGTCTGAGACCTGCATCACTTCGGGCTTTCCGCCCACATTAAGCTAACACGCCGGGATATGACTGGAATAGTGTTAAAAGCGGCGTTAAACCCAACTCACTCACTCACTCACTATTTCGGTGGATTCTCGAGGCTGCTTATTGTTGTGTTTCACAATGGAAAGGGAATTAAAAGTTTTTTATCCCCAGCTCAGATTACTGCATTCTCCATCTTCCCATATCTCACATTCATGTTGTTATAATGAAATGGGAGTGACAGTTTATCCCAAGTGTTTATCCATGTTCTCGTGTGTCTGAAAGACAAATTGTATTCCCAGTGGAACACAACATCGATAAAGTTCCTATGTACACTTTTGTATGTGTTGTTGGTTCCTTGGTGCTGATTTCTTCACTTTTTCTGATGTTCTCATTGTTCGAGACAGAGTATCGATCGTAACGCCGATTTTGTCGGATGAGAAATTTACAGACCTATAAGCTGTTTCATTCGTATTGTGTTTAGCACAAAGATCCCGCATTGTGTGGACGGAGGGTAACCAAGCTTGAATCATATAGCTGCTGAATGTTTGTTTGTTTGTTGTTTAACGCCGCACTCAGCGGTATTCCAGCTATATGACGGCGGTCTGTAAATAATAGTGTCTTGACCAGACAATCCAGTGATTGACATCATGAGCATCGATCCACGCAATTGGGATCGATGACATGCATGAACCGGGTCAGTGAGCCTGACCACCCGATCTCGTTAGTCGCCTTTTACGACAAGCATTGTCATCTTTTACGGCAAGCATGGGTTGCTGATCATGAAGACCTATTCTAACCCGGATCTTCACGGGTCGGAAGCTGTATGGGCTTCAATTAGCTCAACAAGTCTCTTTGGGAAATATGTCTCTTCTGAAATTTGTTCAGAGAATAGACTTGCATCAAAGGACAAAGTGTATATATACGCCCAGTGAGAATGAAACCAAGTGTGATAATATTAGCATCTTCTCGAGGCAAGGGAGTTAACTGTCTGTAAAAGTCCAGTTTCTATACTAAAGTATTCATGGAAATGAAAAAAATCTGTGTTGCTGGATTTCATAATCGACACAAAGCATTACGTAGATGTAAATACGAAATAACAAAACAACTGGAAAAGTACTAGTCTGGATTTGCTAGTTTTATCTCAGGATTCAATACAAAATGTACTTTACAGGAGGTAATTTGTTGGCACTTTCAACATTCAAAAATAAACTAAGTCCAAATTGACATGGCAGAAACAGGCTTTGGGCATATGCAAATTAGCCTTGGAAAAAAAGTTATCAAAACAACAATAAAAAACCCAGCTATGTTTATGTACATAATAATAATGACATGTAAGTTGTTGTTTGAGAAGGGAATATGTTACTTTAACGTTCTGATATGTTGACGATGATTCACTATCCCACAATGCCACTCATAAATCACTAACCACTGACAAAAAGACATAAAAAACCCTTTGATACGCTGTATTTGTGCCAAGGCCAAATTAGTACTAATTGAGTTGTTTGAATATTTATATATTTTGTATATTAACTGCATTTATTTAAAATCTGAGATCGAAAAAACAGGGTTTATTTCATTTCCGTGAGTACTTTAGGCTGGAATTTCTGGGCTCGATCGTAGCGCTACCATCGGCTTTTACAAGTTATGTCCCTTCTATGTCCTTCCTATTGACCTATCAGATTCCACCTCTCATATCACTTGCATTTGCTTAAATAAAAATCACTGCGCCCTTGATAATCAAAATATATACGTGATAAAACGAGTCTTACTAAGCGAAATGCATTAAATCACGTGAGCACTTTGATAAAAAACATGAAAGGTTCGGAAAATATCTGTTGACGCCGATTTGGCGGTACACATGCTCTGCAAATCCACCAATCGACCGAAATCTGCACGGCAGTTCACGAACCGGATGTCGACTTCGTCACGCGACGATTGGATTGTGCATACTCTAGTTAGTCCAGCTAATATATAGCTCTTTAATTCCAGCCTAGTTCGGCGAGGGTGGAAATGGGTGGTGGTGTTACATTTTACGGGCGGCGAGAGCCAATTAAAGGCCTATTTGCACCCAGCGCATTGGCTTAACTTAATAATAATCACAAGGTATAATATCTCAAAATAAAAAATAACGACATTGTTCAGATAACATAAAGGAGACGCCAGCAAAAGTAATATTCATTTGGATCTTTTCTACCCCGGATCTTCATGGCGGGGTGCAGGGCGGTCGGGTAGCCTAGTGGTTAAAGCGTTCGCTCGTCACGCCGAAAACCTGGGTTCGATTCCCGACATGGGTACAATGTGTAAAGCCCATTTCTGGTGTTCACCGCCGTGATATTGCTGGAATATTGCTAAAAGCAGCGTAAAACCATACTCACTCACTCACTCACCCAGTACTGCGATCAGCGGATGACTCTTTTCATACATCAATGTATATATTGCGTGAAAATAGAATAAAATTCAGACAGAAAGTCTTGAGTTATTACTTTTATTATGTTTAGGTATGTGACAAGTTTTGCTACCACCCAAATGACTAGCCATAAAAGTATCGGGTGCCAAACTCATCACTGAAGTCGTGTTTCCAAAATCTCTGCAGAACCAAAAGCTGGTGAAAATCCTATTCATAGCTTTAGATTGAATTTATTGAACATTACCACTGAATATAATTTTTGCACTTGACCGGGAATAACTACATAAATTAACCCTTAAGTAGTCGGAGTTTTGTGTTTTCGCATGTTCAGCCTTTGAAAACAGTTTAATGTAACATGTACGAAATTGCAGAGAATGGTTGGTTTGTTGTTTAACTCTGCACTCAGCAACATTCAAGCTATATGACGGCGGTCTGCAAATAATCAAGGTTGCCCCAATGCGCCCAATGGCATCTATTTCGGTGGAGGGGCACGGGTGGCCCAGTCGTCTAAGGCGCCGCGATTCGCTGTGCAGAGTTGCGTCCCTTGGGCACGCCAGAAACCTATGATTGTGGGTTCGAATCCCGGTTCGCCCCGATTATGTTTCCAGGTTTGTCAGCACCATACCCGTGCTCGTGGGTTTAACCGAGGTGGTAAACGTCTGAGACCTGCATCACTTCGTTCTTTCCTCCCACATTAAGCCGACACGCCGTGATATAACTGGAATACTGTTAAAAGCGGCGTTAAACACAACTCACTCACTCACTCATGTTTCTGTCAGAGGTTGGACATTTTTTCTAAAAATATTGACTTTGTTAAAAAGTATCATGGTTTAGCAGCCATACTGGAGTCTGTTTTGGGAGTGCAATTTTAACGCGTTTTCATTGTTTCCCACTCCTCAACTACAAGTTTAAATGCTTCCTAACTTTTAATTAAAGGGTCTTCATACTGCATATATCCAAAACCTAACCTAACCTAACCTATCGGTAGATATTTGACGGCGGTCTGCAAATAATCAAGTCTGCCCCACTGTTTCCAGGTTTGTCAGCACCATACCCGTGCTCGTGGGTTTAACCGAAGTGGTAAACATCTTAGACCTGCATCACTTCGGGCTTTCCTCCCACATAAGGCTGACACGCCGTGATATAACTGGAATAATGTTAAAAGCGTCGTTAAACCCAACTCACTCACTCACACTCACTATAACTCTGTCTCGAATGTCCTTAATGTCATCGTTAAAATGTAAAACGTAATTGTTCCCTTGCTCCTACATTCTGTCGTGAATGTCCTTTAAATCTTAAAGTTAAAGCTGTAACTCGTTCTGTCTTCAACAGTATTCAAGAACACAGGACTTCAGGATATGTTCCCGTGTTTTTCCTAGTGAACATATGGCGTGCATTTGCATGTGTTTGTGACGGCAGTGGGGCAGGATACGCTCACCTTTTCGCAACCAGTTGGTATAATCACTATTCGATTGTGATCCATAAACACATGTTTATGATATTGACGGTATCGTACTGTCGACTCTGCTTTATGCAGAGATTTCTATTGGATATAGAAAGGGTTTGCAGCCTGGTCCCTTGGGTATGCTGCGCTGGCGCTACACTGATTAATTTCACGATGTAATAAGAAAACAAACAAATGCAAAATAAATGGCTTTTCAGGTGAATAAAATCCAGAATCCAAATATCAGAACCAAAGACAAACCCTATCATTAAATACCATTATTACGGATCATAAGTGTTAGATTTTTTTATGGTAATTTATAGTGGGCGTTCAATAATTCCGCTAAACCCGACATTTTACAATGGGAGAAAACCGGGCATAATCGGCGACATTTGCGTCATCAAATTTGCTAAAATAAAGATGCTAACGGTATTCCATTAACGTGGTTGTTTAATTCAATGTATTATATGTAGGATTTCGGGACAACAGTGAGCTGACACGAAATATTAACGCATATATCACTGTTGAAAATGGTGTGTGTGTCATTGTTTACATTTCACCGATGTGACGACCACTTTCGAGTCTCGAAACAGCTTAAATAATGTTTTCCTTCACTAACAGTAACAATGGACGTTATTATCGCGACGTATATATAGCAAGAGCATTCATGAAAATGCTAAGAAAAAAACTTAACCACCCGTTCTAGCGTTTTTCTATAGTTTATACATTTCGTGTCCGCCATGTTTGTTTGTCTTATGGAGGCCGCCATTGCCTGGGTCAAGCTCCTCACAGCGATAGCCCGTTCGCGGAGAGTGTGTAACGAAGGTGTCACGCGCTGGGAAGGAGCTTGTGCCTTGGTCAGTGTAGCATACCCAGGAAACCAGGCTGCGGCATTGATTGCATGTACCCGCATTTGCACAACTACCTGGCAGGCAGCCAAGATTCATGTCGTATACAAAGCGCCACGTCACTGTCTATACGACAGTCCTAGTTTCTCTTTCATTATGCGTTGTACAGAAAGATTGGGGCGGCCATAGCAGCACAGCAAATATTGGATAGCTAAAGCTATGGATAGCGAAGACAGAGAGGTGACAGCTCCGTACTTCACGGGGAGGAACAAGGCACTGAAGCTCACTGAAGTGTTGGAGATACTGGACAACCCTGATGACAAACGGGCTATAGTAACAACCCCAGCTCAACCCCATGGAGGAGACGGGTACTTGTACAGGGTGGAGGCAGACTCGGTGGAAGGTAGGTTAAATACTGCATGTCTTGAAGTTTAGACCAGAGACCATATAATATGGTCTCTGTTTAGACTTAAATGAAAATGCATACTTCTGACAATATTAATTAAGGGAGAAACCCACTTGAGATAACAGCCTAGGTATCATACATATATATGTGTGTGTGTGTGTGTGTGTGTGTGATGTGGAATTCCAGGCCCGTGATTGGCTACTCCATGGTGATGACCTGAGGTCAGATAATAACTGACTACTTTCCTGATTGTAAGTCATTGATAAGTTGCTCATGCTTCAGTGGAATGTTCACCCACGTATGTGTTGAACCTTATGGGTTTTTAGAGTGTAAACCTCCTGGATGCCACATTGACATATAGATGGAGAAACCGGCACTGTTTGTTTGTTTGCTTGTTTGTTGTTTTACGGCACACTCAGCAATATTCCAGCTATATGACGGCGGTCTGTAAATAATTGAGTCTGGACCAGACAATCTAATGCTTTGCAGACCATTGTGACGTGTTTGGTTACCATGATGTCAAAATCAAGTGACATTGCTAATGGCTCTGCTACTGAAGCTGTAAGCAGTACTCTTTACACTTAAGACACTGCTTATTACTGTCTACAAACTGAAAAAGTTGGAAGAATGATTTTGGATGATAAATAAAATCTCATCTTCGTGTCTTTTGATATCAAATATATCAACACTTGCAAGCCTCAGAGTTTTTCCAATTTTATCAACTTGTGTTGATATATACTGAACTGCAAAAGAAACCTCACCATGGATAGATACATGAGAAATCTTATTTGTCCAATCACTGTAAACATACTTTGAGACATATCAAAAAGATGAAACTCGACAAAACTGATCATCAAGGTTGCGGCGATTGCGGCGATGTGCCAAATGAGGTATGCCATGTGGTCTCAAGACTTGATCAATGTACCTAGCTACTGTGACACCATTGCCTCTCCCTGGACCCATGTTCTGGAAGAACAAGGCTGACCCTCTGTGCAAGACCAATTCTATCCCACACCATGATGCTCGGACCAACCCACCAGTCTCTCTCTTTCTCTCTGCCATCTGCTGTTGAGATACAGTAACCGCTCTCGTCTAAGAAGAGGACTCTTCTCCACTGCTGGTGGCACCAATGCTGGTGCTGTGTTGCGCACTGAAGACAGTCCCGGGGATGACATGGTGTCAGAATGGGTCCTCGGTGTGGCCTGTGACAGTCGAGGTGTCAGCTCGTCAATCGTCGACGCACGGTGCCCTCACTAATGTGTCGCTGGTGTGTCCCCATGGTCTGTCGAGCAGTTTCAAAGCGATCTTGAAGATGCTGTCGCACAATCTGACGACCCTGACATCAGATGGTGACCCTTGGTCTTCCACTACGTGGTAGGTCATCTGTAGTGTTGGTGGTCTGGTACCATTGCTGGAGCCTGTATATGGTCCTTAGGTGGACTTGAAATGCATTGGCTACTTGCCGGGCGGTTTATCCAGCTTGCAATCGTCCAAGGGCTTGGTGTTGCTGATTTCTTGTCAATCTTGGCATGTGGTAGCAATTCAATAACGAATGAATGTTATCGGATCTGGGTGGATTTTTATAGGGCAGGAAATGGGGGAACGCATGTGCATTTCAATTTGTACGGAACTCACGTGCATCGGGTTACCATGACTGTTGCCATGAAGCGTTTGGACGATCAGTTTTATTGTCATCTGCTTTGTTTTTTTATCCTCAAATTTCATTTTTCCGGACAAGGTAATGTTAAGTTGGAGATACTTTGACAAAAATTACCCAGATATTCAAATGACAACTTTTCATGCAATGGGGGGTGATGTTTCTTTTGCACTTCAGTATATTTAGATGTGTCAATGTATTCATAATCAAGAACGTGTTATAGTCTTATTTTCAGCTGACTTGAATTTAAATGTAACCTCACTCACATAACTTTAAACTATCACTTACCTTAAACTATTGAATTTGGATTTAGACTGTTAGCTGTGAACAGCGTGACATCCTGATAGTTGTTGGGAGACACTGAGATCCTTGTTGATCATTCTATTTTGATGGGGGGCGGTCGGGTAGCCTAGTTGTTAAAGCGTTCGCTTGTCATGCCAAAGACCCGGGTTCGATTCCCGACATGGATACATAGTGTGAAGCCCATTTCTGGTGTCCCCTGCCATGATATTGCTGGAATTTTGCCTAAAGCGGCGTAAAACCATACTTACTCACTCACTCACTCTATTTTGATGGATGGACCTGTGTTAATAATAATGTATTATGTTCATTGCAGCAGATTCCAGAAAACACTACATCAACTAACGCGAACCGTTTGAACAAAACAAACAAAAACACAAAAAACGTACGTCTTTTAATGCATTGCGTTATTGACATATTTGTAACTGGTTGGTTTTTGCTCTACAGACTCATGGAAGAATGACAGCTACCACTTCAAGCATATTGGTTCCCAGGAACAACCCAACCCTGCACCCAAGGTCGTCAAGCAGTACTTCGTGGCTTATAAAAGTGATGGCAGCACCACCAAGTCTTTTAAACGACAGGCATACAACTTGCTCGGGGCAGACGTGAAATATATGTTAGTACACTACATAGGAAAACACACAGAAGCGTTATCGGATCCAAAATATGAGAAACGTTTGAATGCGGCCCTCCCCCTTGGATCTGAGGTGGTGAACCCTGGCGTAAGAAAAGCTGGTTCTGGAGATGAAGATGGTGGAGAAAGGGAGACAAGTGATATGGAATGTGATCATGATCCTGCAAATACGAACTCTCCTACTTCCCAGCCTTCCTCAGGTGAAGTTAGCTCGAAGAAAAGGAAACATGACCCTGATATTGTGAATATGTGTGTGAAAACTCCTAAATGTTCAGAAAGCGAACAAATAACAGAAAACAATTCGATTGACAACATAACCACCGAATGTGTTAGTCATCAACCTGATGAAAGACCAACCAATCTCAGATCATTCACCGAAAGTGTGCTGAACAAACGTACACATATCGTTATCGCAAGGTGTGTGTTGAACCTGACACAATACTGGGAGAAAAACACCACGTATACTTCCCTTGACAGTCCGTGTTTATCATTAATCGCTGACATAAACAGTCAATGGAGAAATGACCTCGCAGAAGTCAGTGACAGGTTGAAGTGGTCACGACTTAGCCCGGACATTCTCGGTGATGACCAGTGCCCGGAGACGTATCTCAGTCTGATATCAGCTGTCATAGTAGGTGCATATCACATGAAGACGGACATCACAGAGTTTGTTGACACCCTCTATATGTACCCACAACATGTGATGAGTGACTACGCCGAGACAGATGACGACGATGGGACGGATCCTCAGATGTGCAAGGTGGGGCCCCACAGCATACAGAGGAATCATCTCCTCGATCCGACAGCATGGCTTGGTGATGAGGTAATTTTTATGGTTTTTCTAGCTTTCTCATCTTTTGCTCATCATGAATTATGTCCTTCAATTCTGCAAATTATTATTCTAATATTTTCAAAAGTATAAAATAGATTGGGACAATCTTCTTCTCGCTTGTGGTTGGTAGGCCATGTCAAAGAACGATATTAGCAATAACATTATTAAAGATGAAAATTATATAATATTATGATATAATGAAAAAATATTTGTTCCAATAGTGGAAATTGCTCTCAGGCCAAGTAACATATTAAATCGCTCCATCGTTGTTACCTGAGGATTTCAGACAGGATACATGTTGCAATGATGTTTTTTTGTAAGTTGCTAGTTAAAACATGTGACGTAGGGGTTTTGCAATATGAATTTGTTTTGTAAATACCTTTGTCCCTCCATTGTAGGTCATGCAAGCATACATGCATGTCCTGCAGACCACTTGGAATAGGAGCAGCAGCCATCACTGCATTGTACTTGATTCCTTCCTGGTCAGCGATTGGGAGAAAGACGAGTATGACGGGCCTCCTTGCAAGGTATGGATAGCATAGTCATGTACATTCATGTGGAAAGGAATGAGAAAAGTACTCGCATTAGGTTTTCGACCAAAGATGGAAATTAAAGACACATGGTAAATCTTTGATTCGGTTATGGATCTTTGTTTAGCATCTAATTCGAGCTCTGAAAGATATGAGGTCAGTTTTGTAACAGTTCCTTGAAGGTTTAGATCAGCATTTTTTCTTTAACAAGAATATCCTCACTGTACCTATGTCAACACGCCATGTATAACTTAATTGGTCATGTGTGTAAAGTCAACGCTGATGGTAAAAGTAACACTGACAGTCACGTGCAGTTTGTATGTCCCTTGTTGGTCCATGTTATCACTGACTTCACAACCATCGAAGTCGACGATCACAGCAGTGAACACACTACATGTCTTGTCAAAACCGATAAGTAAAACCTCAGCACGGAAGGGTCTGAATGGCTTTGGTAGTTCACTTAAGAATACTTGCATTTTAATGTAGATGCATGTATTTTCTGAACATTATCCTTTCGAATAACGGTGGACGCATGGTTGGCCCAGGTGTCAATGGCACCGTAATTCGCTGTGCAGAGTTGCGTCCCTTGGGCATGCAAGAAACCTAAAATTGTGGGTTCGAATCCCGGTTCGCCTGATTATGTTTCTAGTTTTGTCAGCACCATACCTGTGCTCATGGGTTTCACCGAAGTGGTAAACGTCTAAGACCTGCATCACTTTGGGCTTTCCTCCCACATTAAGCCGACACACCGTGATATAACTGGAATACTGTTAAAAGCGTCGTAAACCCAATTCACTCTCACTAGAATATCGGTATTTTTATGAATACCAAAAGCATTTTCAGTACATCAGCGCACCAGTTGAGTTTAGTTAGTGACTGAGTTAGGTTTAATGGCCACTTTGAACAGTATCCAATTATATCACAGACTGTCAGATTAATGTGGGAGGAAAACCTGAAGTGATGCACGCCTCAGACGTTTACCACTTTGGTCATTGAGTTTAAAAAGATCAATTACATAGTTGTTTCCAAATAAATGTCATATACATGTATCCAAAACAGGGGAAGGGTAATTGTTTGGATATGATTTTGAAAGAACACAGGCGATCATGGAAATGTATTTCAAGTACAGTTGATATTTAAGCATATAATGTTAATCTGTAACCATAAGATAATGTTAGCTAATATCTGTAAAATTGATCAAATGAAATTATAATTCATTAATGTAAATTACAATACATATCTGTAGATATCCATATTTCTCTGTGGTTAAAGAGCATCAAACGAATCTTGCTTGATCAGGGTAAAACATTCAAGACCATATTATTTTCCTTTTCAACCAACCCTTACTGTAAATAAAAGTGACAAAGCCCTTTCCACATTTTAGATTGTCCCCATCTCACTGGAGCTCCCTTCTCAATATAAATGTGGGTGCCTCTTTCTATGTTTGGGGACTAGGCATAAGTCTGGAAAGCATTGAGAAAGTTCTATTGTATGCATGTGGAGGGCATATCCAAATTTAACATGATTTAACTCATCAGTGACAAAAAAAATGTCTGATGCAATTCCACATTTTGACTTGTACCATAATTATTTTCCTGTGTTTCTCGAGCGAGCACTTGACTTGCCTTAGCATGTGTTTGTGACGGGTGCAATTGGTTAGCAGAATTGCTCGTGATATGGTCAGTATCATTCCTATTTGTAAGTGATTTATTAATACTTGTTAGTGATACGGTCGGTATCATCAAGGTATTTCTTTTGATTCTGGCAATGATTTTGTGGATTTTATTTTATATTAGGAGGAACTTGGAACTTACACGTGGATCGTGATGCCAGTGAACATGCCACTAAATAAACACTGGGTGCTTCTGGTCGCCAATGCCCAGGATGGAACAGTGGGCGTGGTCAACTCTAAGTGTGCTCTTAATGTAGAGGACAAACTTATTCAACATTGGAGGTAATTTGAGGGCTTGGTCAGCTATAAACGTGCCATAGATGTAGAGATAAACGTGTAAAGTCTTGCCTCGTTTATACGGACACTTGCATCATTTCACAATTCGTCAGTATAAACAAATTTCCGTATAACTGAAACCAGCTTCTTACTGGAAGAGTTACTTCCCTTCAATTATGCAACTCATGACAGATGACATGGGATTATCGAATGGGATTACATGTACAATAAACAAGCTCGTCTCAAACGTAATTCAGTGTCACTTGGTTAATTGACTTCTCACGAATCAAAGGATTTCCACCAACGGAAGGATTACCACCAGCGGAAGTGTATTTTCCGGGTAACTGAGACAATTTTGTGTGCATTTCAGTGTTTTGTGTATGAAAATGACCATCCGGTTCCGGAAACTGAATTTCTGTATATACGGGTAAATTTATATAGTAATTATTTCGTTTTGAATGAAAATCGTCCGGGAACCGAGGTTTCCGGATATCTGAAGTCTGTACAAGCGGGGCATGACTGAGAGCACTGTGGAATAAGTGGGCTAACAGGTGATGTCAGCTCTAAGCCTACGATTGATGAAGACTCCAGTGGGAAGTACAGCTTAAGGACACACTGATGAATGCGATAGTCTTAAAGTCTCGAACCGATTTTGAAACAAAAGCTGCAATCTGCCTCATCTACAAACATATGTAGTTAACTTGTCCTAAATGTATAGCGCTAGGTTGAAGGTTGGTTTGAGGCAGCGGAAACAAATAGAGGTAGTAAACTCTAGATCTAATATCTATTTTTTTCAGAAAATATACATGCAGTTTGAGGAGAGCTGATGGATCAGTGGTCACATGGATAACGACAGAATATCCAGTACTCAGTCAAACAGATGAGCATAGCTGTGGCATCTTTGTGAATATGGTACGGCAACTGAATGGGAACTTGTTTGTTTGTTTGTTTAACGCCACACTCAGCGATATTCCAGCTATATGACGGCGGTCTGTAAATAATCGAGTCTGGACCAGACAATCCAATCATGATCATCAATCCACGCAATTGGGATACGATGACATGCATCAATAAAAGTCAGCGAGCCTGACCAGCCGATCCCATTAGTCACCTCTTACGACAAGCATAGTCGCCTTTTATGGCAAGCATGGGTTGCTGAAGACGTATTCTACCCCGGATCTTCACGAGTCGAATGGGAACTAGATTTATGAATCTCATTCATCATTGTATAATAACAATTATAATAAGAGCAATATACAGAAAATTATTATGAATCGCTAAAATATAATATGCAGCATGTATTTCTCATCATTTAGACTTTTTTCACTGCATCTTCTAAAATCCCACCTAGCACGGAAACTTTATTTCAAATGTAAATCGCATTAGCATGCTCTTGGTTACTGACCAATCAAATGTGTCAATATCAAAACAGAATATTCCAATTTCTGTTAGTACCTTAACATGCATATCTATATTAATATACTGATCTGTTTCTATGATATATATATATGTTTATTTAAATTTCCATAAAACTAACAAGTTTTTTTGGCGGGGAACAATATGCTTGTATTAAACACTAAAGAGAGGGATCTCTGGAAGAAAACTAATGACAATGTGGGTTTTGAGTTTTTCTATAATATCATTTTATATGTACAATGTACTCTATCACTCTTAATCGAGATTGAACATTTATGTGTTCATTATCCCCCGCCACGATTGGTTGGTTTGGTTTGTTGTTTAACGCCGCACTCAGCAATATTCCAGCTATATGACAGCGGTCTGTAAATAATCGAGTCTGGACCAGACAATCCAGTGATTAATATCATGAGCATCGATCCACGCAATTGGTATCGATGGCATACATCAACCAAGTCAGCGAGCCTGACCACCCGATCCCGTAAGTCACCTTTTACGATAAGCATAGTTACCTTTTACGGCAAGCATGGGTTGCTGAAGACCTATTCTACCCCGGATTCTTCACGGGTCCCGATACAGAGTGGAAGGGGATATAAGAATGGATGCTGTCCGCCGGCCCTTCCGTCTGTCCGCAACAGATTGATGGATATGGGTCTAGTGGGAAAATAGTGCCTTTTGATAGTTTGGGATTTCTGAGAAATATTTTTTTCGAGTTTCCAACGACTTTGACTTAGAGTGAAAATGGCGGCATTGCTCATTTCCGGAGCAGATCTTGAAATCGTACAATATTTCTTGCCTTGCACACAACTGGACATGTCATATTGGTGGGGGATATGAGTATTTCGTGCTTGTTTTTAACAGGATCTCAGTGAGTGAGTTCATTTGATTTCACGCCGCCCATTAGCAATGTTCCAGCAATATCACAGCACGGGGCCCCAGAAATGGGCTTTAGACATTGTACCCATGCATGAATTTGAACCCAGGTCTTCGGCATGATAAGCCAAAGCTTTAACCACTAGCTACCCTACTGCCCCAGGGTATTGCTCCAGTTGACGTATTATGATACACCTCAATATGGGGCAAACACTAAAGAACAATGCTTTGTTTTTGTTGTCAATACTTCGTCACCAGTGGCTCTTTATTGTTACAGGCACTAGAAGCTGTACTATCGGAGGTGCCTCCCAGTGTCATGAGGAGCTGCCACACTGTCTGGTACAGGAGGTACATCTGGCGCAGACTGCGGGAATATGCAGATGAACATACACAGCCTGATATGGACACAGACAGTGAGTATAAATATTGTTTTCCAAATATACCTAAAACCCAAATACATGCAAAGGACAAAACCCTTTCCGTATTCTTAAAAATAATCACTGGTAATATCAGACGACTATATCATGTGCATGTGTTTATGAATCACTATCAAATAGTGTGTTCGCGACAAGGTGAGCAGATCCTGCCAATAGCAATATATTCCACAACAAAACTAGAATCCGCAAACCCAAGTATCACAGGGCTTTCTTCTAATGTCAATTTTTTTTATTATTATTTGTTTCCCGGCATTCTTTTACTACTTCTCTGTCCTGTAAGGGGGCGGTCGGGTAGCCTAGTGGTTAAAGCGTTCGCTCGTCACGCCGAAGACCCGGGTTCGAATCCCGACATGGGTACAATGTGTGAAGCCCATTTGTGGTGTCCCCCGCCGTGATATTGCTGGAATATTGCTAAAAGCGGCGTAAAACCAAACTCACTCACTCACTCACTGTCCTGTAAGATGCAAGCTGTTAGGGATAATTCATAAAGCGGTGTTCTTGAAGAATGTTCATAGTTTGCTTGTTTGTTGTTTAACACCTCACTCAGCAACATTCCATCTATATGACATGCATCTACCAAGTCAGTGAGCCTCATCACCCGATCCCGTTAGTCGCCTCTTTGGTTTGGGCTTCGCATGGAATGACTTGACCCAAATCCCTTTCCACATTGATACGCTTCAACAGGGATGTTGAGGGATTTTATCCCAGTTTCATAGATGTCCGGTTTTGCTATCCATTAAGTTCTCCACAGCTTCTTTGATGTCATCGTTTGAATCGAATTGGGGTCAAGCTGGAACTTTCGTTATGTTTGGAAATGGATGGAAGTCTGATAGAGTGAGTGAGTTAAAAAATTTCCGTCAGACTGGCAATATTTCAGCCATTGACAAAAGTATACATTAAAAACAAATATATTCAGAGTGTATAAAATCCTGTCATCGAAGGACAGTATGATAACTAGATTATCACAGATTGTATTTAAAACTAGTTTGAGAGCATGTAAAAGAATAAACTACCAATTAACAGTGCAATATAAAAAAAGGGGCTTTTGATCGCCAGCAACAAAAATTAGCCACCATACCAAGGACTTATGAGGGGGCACGGGTGGCCCAGTCGTCTAAGGCGCTGTGATTCGCTGTGCAGAGTTGCGTCCCTTGGGCACGCCAGAAACCTATGATTGTGGGTTCGAATCCCGGTTCCCCCCGATTATGTTTCTAGGTTTGTCAGCACCATACTCGTGCTCGTGGGTTTCACCGAAGTGGTAAACGTCTGAGATCTGCATCACTTAGGGCTTTCCTCCCACATTAAACTGACACGCCGCAATATAACTGGAATACTGTTAAAAGTGGCGTTAAACCCAACTCATTCCCTCACTCATTCACCAGGGACTTATAACACTGCTTCCCTCATGGTTCGCCAGCAGGATTTATACCACCTCTTCAGCTGGCAATTGTATTCAAGTTTAGCCATCAATGTAAAATGACAAATATACTCCGTGAATAACTCTGTCATACATAAAAATACTTTGAATGATGTGGAACTTAAATACCCTCTCAGGTGGACAATACAATTCTTCAACCCCCCTTAAGGGTACATCCACTAACAATTTAAGTTACTAATTAGCACTACCAATTTATAAAATAATACCTCAAAACTTATCAATTAATGTAATTCCTTTCAAAAGTCCAAGAATTTAACGAGAGCTGGTGTTAAATTTGAAATAATTATCGTTTCATGTTACAGGTTTTTTGGTGTGTTATTTCTTGTTATTCAAGTACGAGTGAAGCCTGGCAAACTGGAAAGTGTCCGCACCTTTATATTCGCAATGGGCAAAAACCTGATATTGTTATTGCAATCATAGGATATTCAACCAATCATGATTTGCCACACAAAAAAACATAATGTAGAGGGGTTGGATAACAGTTATGATAAGTGAGACAACTATTAAAATATGTTCTTAAGTTCCCTGTTTTGACTTGTACCATATGTTTCCACGTTTTGCAGATGAACAATTGACTTGCCTTTGCATGTGTTTGTGACACATTACCAGCTGGACAGGATAGGCTCGCCTTTTCGTGATCCTGATTCATAAACACATGCTCACAATATAGTTGGAATCGTAAACATTTCTTTGGATTATTGAAACACTGTCGTTGTATATATTCAAATCCAATGTTACTAATCCATTGCAATGGATAATGGCCAAAGAGGATCATCAAATATATGTGAGTTTTATATGTTGGCAAATGTTGTGTGATTTACAAAGAAAACAGCATGTACAAAAGCCAATATATCTTCAATGTCTCTTCAAGTTGTAAACATTATAAGTGTTATAATATTTTAAATGCTCAAAGTGTGATTATTTTAGATATGTGGGCACGGGTGGCCCAGTCGTCTAAGGCGCCACGATTTGCGTCCCTTGGGCACACCAGAAACCTATGATTGTGGGTTTGAATTCCGGTTCGCCCCGATTATATTTCTAGGTTTGTCAGCACCATACCCGTGCTCGTGGGTTTCATGAAGTGGTAAACGTCTGAGACCTGCATCACTTCGGGCTTTCCTCCCACATTAAGCTGACTCGCCGCAATACAACTGGAATACTGTTAAAAGCAGCATTAAACTCACTCACTCACTTATTTTAGATATATTGCCAAAATGAAAAATTAACCTGTTTGGTTCTGTATTTGAAAGATTGTTGTCCTTCTTGCAGTGCTTGAGTCTCCATGTGAAAAGCTGACAAATAATCCAGCGTCAACGAAGGCCAGAACATTTGCGTATACAATAGTCAATAGGTCGACCAGCATAGATGATACGAGATACAGTTTACATAAAGCAGCCAGCCTCGGAGATATTAGACGCATGCATTTGTTGATAGACCAGGGCGAGTTTGTAGCGAGTACCGATGACCGAGGGTGGACCCCTTTGCACTGTGCCTGTGAAAACGGTCATGGCGAAGCTGTTGCTGTTCTTGTTTCCAGGCGGAAGGGCGACGTACAAAAAAGAGCTAAACTTACTTTGTACAGTCCTATCATGGATACGAAGTATGCGTATCTAGCGGGAATATTACCACTGCACATTGCTTGTTTAAATGGACATGAGAATGTAGCACACATTTTAATCAAAAGCGGTGCAAATGTTGACGACAAAAGTGAAACTGGAACAACGGCTCTTTTTTTTGCTTCTGGTAACGGACATAAATCTGCAGTCGAATTTCTGATCAAGAGTGGTGCAAGTGTTACAGCTGTTAATAAGGACGGATGGACGGCACTACATCAAGCTTGTCAGAATGGACATGAATCTGTAGCCACACTTCTGATCAAGAGTGGTGCAAGTGTTACGGCTGAAGACAAGGACGGATGTACAGTTCTACATATAGCTTGTCAGAATGGACATGGTTCGTTAGCCGCACTTCTGGTCAAGTATGGTGCAAGTGTTACAGCTGTTAATAAAAACGGATGGACGGCACTACATCTAGCTTGTCAAAATGGACATGAATCTGTAGCCGAAGTTCTGATCAAGAGTGGTGCAAGTGTTACAGCTGAAGACAAGGAAGGATGTACGGTTCTACATATAGCTTGTCAGAATGGACATGGTACGTTAGCCGCACTTCTGGTCAAGTATGGTGCAAGTGTTACAGCTGTTAATAAAGACGGATCGTCGGCACTACATCTAGCTTGTAAGAATGGACATGAATCTGTAGCCACACTTCTGATCAAGAGTGGTGCAAGTGTTACAGCTGTTGATAAGGACAGATGGATGGCACTACATCTAGCTTGTCAGAATGGACATGAATCCGTTGCCACGCTTCTGATCAAGAGTGGTGCAAGTGTTACAGCTGTTGATAAGGATGGATGGACGGCACTTCATCTAGCTTGTCAGAATGGACATGAATCTGTAGCTGCACTTATGATTAAGAGTGGTGCAAGTGTTACAGCTGTTAATAAGGACGGATTGACGGCACTACATCCAGTTTGTGAGAATGGAAATGAATCTGTAGCCACACTTCTGATCAAGAGTGGTGCAAGTGTTACAGCTGTTGATAAGGACGGATGGACGGCACTACATCTAGCTTGTCAGAATGGACATGAATCTGTAGCCACACTTCTGATCAAGAGTGGTGCAAATGTTACAGCTGTTAATAAGAAAGGATCGGCACTACTATTAGCTTGTCAGAATGGACTTGACTCTGTAGCCACACTTCTGATCAAGAGTGGTGCAAATGTTACAGCTGTTGATAAAGACGGATGGACGGCACTGCATCCAGTTTGTCAGAATGGACATGAATCTGTAGCTGCACTTCTGATCAAGAGTGGTGCAAGTGTTACAGCTGTTGATAAAGACGGATGGACGGCACTACATCTAGCTTGTCAGAATGGACATGAATCTGTAGCCGCACTTCTGATCAAGAGTGGTGCAAATGTTACAGCTGTTAATAAGAAAGGATCGGCTCTACATCTAGCTTGTCAGAATGGACATGAATCTGAAGCCGCACTTCTGATCAAGAGTGGTTCAAGTGTTACAGCTGTTGATAAAGACGGATGGACGGCACTTCATTTAGCTTCTCTGAATGGACATAAATCTGTAGCCGCACTTCTGATCAAGAGTGGTGCTAATGTTACAGCTGAAGACAAGAAAGAATCGACGCCTCTACATCTAGCTTGTCGGAAAGGACATGCATCTGTAGCCGCACTTCTGATAAAAAGTGGTGCAAATGTTTATAGTCGGAATAAGGACAGACTCACGGCGCTACATGAAGCGTGTATAAATGGACATGAGTCTGCGATCTCACTTATGATTAAGAGTGGTGGAAGTGTTAAGATCCGTTAATAAGGACAGATGATCGGCACTACATAAACCTTGTGAGAATGGACATGAATCTGTAGCCGCACTTCTGATCAAGAGTGGTTCAAGTGTTACAGCTGTTGATAAGGACAGATGATCGGCTCTACATAAAGCGTGTCAGAAAGGACATGAATCTGTAGCCGCAGATCTGATCAAGAGTGGTGCAGGTGTTACAGCTGTTAATAAGGACAGATCGGCGAAACTACATCAAGCTTGTCTGAATGGAAGAGTTACGTCTGAATACAAGAATGGATGGACGGCACTACATAAAGCTTGTGAGAATGGACATGGATCTGTAGCTGCACTTCTGATCAAGAGTGGTGCAAGTGTTACAGCTGTTGATAAGGCCGAATAGGCGGCTCTACATCTAGCTTGTCAGAAAGGACATGAGTCTGTAGCCGCACTTCTGATCAAGTGTGGTGCAAATGTTTATGCTTGTAATAAGGACAGATTCACGGCACTACATAAAGCTTGGAATGGACATGAATCTGTAGCTGCACTGTTTCAAGAGTGGTGCAAATGTTACAGGTGTTAATTAGGACGGATTGACGGCACATCTTGTTGGTAGTTCAGGCTAATTTTGTACATACATAATTTTATACAGGTTTAGGCATGTTTAGGCATCAACTTTTGGTTTATGTGAAAATTAATAAAAAACACTTTTCATTTTGAATTTATGTCAAAAACATTTTGTGATATGGCAAAGTAGTTATTTGTTTTGACGCCAGTTTAAAATTTTCACTGAAATTTTTAGTAAACTTACCTATGAATGATTTTTGTTTTCATATTTCCCGCCGCAAGCTCCAGAACGATGTTTAAGTCGATAGATAGAGTCACCATCTGTCATGTGATATAAGTATTGTTGTAATGTTAATCCCGGCACACCTCCTAGTTTTACACTCAACGTCGAAGGTACCATGATTGGATGGTACCATTTTGGAAAATTAGTGCATACCCTGGTAATCAAAAGAAGCTGCATTCTTGAATAAATATTCTATTCATGGCAAAATAAGCATAGAGAATAAAACAAGAATAGGCATAATGTTTTATTTAGACATTCATCATAAGCATGATTCTTGTTCTTTCTGTTAATGAAGCTGAAATGTGATGAATTGTGATAATCTTCATTTAAAAAACAAGATGGCCGGCAGGACTGACCTCCCTACATCAAGCTTGTCAGGACGGACATGAATCTATAGCCTCACTTTTGATCAAGAGTGGTGCAAGTGTTACAGCTGTTAATAAGAACAGATCGGCGAAACTACATCAAGCTTGTCTGAATGGAAGAGTTACGTCTGAATACAAGAATGGATGGACGGCACTACATGAAGCTTGTGAGAATGGACATGAATCTGCAGCTGCACTTCTGATCAAGAGTGGTGCAAGTGTTACAGCTGTTGATAAGGCCGAATAGGCGGCTCTTCATCTAGCTTGTCAGAAAGGACATGAATCTGTAGCTGCACTTCTGATCAAGAGTGGTGCAAATGTTTGTGCTCGTAATAAGGACAGATGATCGGCACTACATAAAGGGGGGCACGGGTGGCCCAGTCGTCTAAGGCGCCGCGATTCGCTGTGCAGAGTTGCGTCCCTTGGGCACGCCAGAAACCTATGATTGTGGGTTCGATTCCCGGTTCGCCCCAATTATGTTTATAGGTTTGTCAGCACCATACCAGTGCTCGTGGGTTTCACCAAGTGGTAAATGTCTGAGACCTGCATCACTTCGGGCTTTCCTCCCACATTAAGCTGACATGCCGCGATATAACTGGAACACTGTTAAAAGCTGCGTTAAACCCAACTCACTCACTCACTCACTCACTCACTCACTCACTCACTCACTCACTCACTCACTACATAAAGCTTGTCAGAAAGGACATGAATCTGTAGGCGTACTTCTGATCAAGGGTGGTGCAAGTGTCACAGCTGTTGCACGATTTCTCTACTTGTAAGACCTGTATGTGTGGAAAGAATATTTGACCAAAATGCTTATCTTTGCGTATCTCCAAACACTGTTACCACTGAATATTCTTTTATACTAGTATATTGATGTTGTATGCTTAAGGAAATAGTTGAAACATTTGTATTATCGACTGCAGAATATTAACAGTATATCCGATTCATGGCGAATATTCCTCGGTTCTTAATATTTCAGAAACTTTGAAGCAGTTTGAAAACGCTCGGACACAGACAGGAAAACCCACGGGGGATATACCACCGCTTGTCTTTTGACAACAGCAATCTCCACGGGCGTATATCCGATTACATACTTTTAACATTGAGGTGGTCAAGTTTTGATCACCATTAAAAATACCTACCACTTGGAGACCCAATCTCATTAAAAGCAGATCTTAGTTCTCGCTGCCGCTAAACAAAGATCTGAGGACATCCCATTACGGGTCACGTTAGACCGACCTTTCACGAACTCTAACCGACCAATGAAATTACTAACAAGAAGTTGATATTAGCCAATCAGAAGGCAGCTTTCTCGTGCTTTACGGCACTAATTTCAAATTGGCGACTACGCTTCGAAACATATTTTGACAAATTCTCCCTTAAAAAAATTGGAAAGTACATTCTCGAATGGCTAATACATGGTCTAGATTGTATAGATTCAGTCGTTAAGCCCGTAACTATCGTTCGGAATACCCGTTTTAAAGTTTTGGAGGCTGCATGATTGGAAATCGCATTCCGCCTGTCACTTTCATGATCTGGTAAGCGACGCTCCGATTGGTCAGATGAAAGGTCGTGAACCCTAATGGGATGTCCTCAGATCTTTGCTTAGCGGTAGAGAGAACTAAGATCTCATTTTAATGAGATTGCTTGGAGACCCAGCATAGATTTCTATTAGAGTTTTAGGTCTTCCTATCATCATTCGACCCGTGAAGATTCCGGGGTAGAATAGTTCTTCAGCAACCCATACTTGCCGTAAAAGGCGACTATGCTTGCCGTAAAAGGCGTCTAACGGGATCGGGTGGTCAGGCTCGCTGACTTGGTTGATACATGTCATCGATCGCAATTGCGTGGATCGATGCTCATGATGTCAATCACTGGATTGCCTGGTCCAGACTCGATTATTTTACAGACCGCCGTCATATAGCTGGAATATTGCTGAGTGCAGCGTTAAACAACAAACAAACAAATCCTATCATCATTCATTCAAAAAGCTTTCAAAATGCGCAAAACTGTTTTCAGTCGACTATAAATAACATATACTTTCTGTTACTCTGTACACAATATTATACTATCTAAAGCTACATGGTATATGGAAGCAGTCTGTATATAATCAAGTATGGACCAGACAAACCAGTGACTGATGTCGGTTAATGATGACACACAATCAACTAAGTTACTGAGCCTGACATAAAGACATCGTGTTCACAATTCACATAAAGTCTATGTGACCTAATGCCTTTTATATATGCTAACCAACATTAGCTCTCATTGAGAGGTGGGAACAGTAGAACGTGTTTTAATGTCCACTTTCGGGCGTGGTTTTCATTTGTTACAAGAAGGTCATAGGAATTGCCTACCATGTCAGTTATCGCAACTGTCATTGAGACGTTTGATGCACAGAGTTTCATATATACCACGAAATGTTTACTGAATGAATTGAATTTTATTACTGACTATAATATTTAAAATGTTTTGAATAATAAAAAGAAACATATATAGTATTTTATTGGTGTCCTTCAGATAAATTTTAAAATATTGATATTGAGTTACTTGTGTTTCATACCTGAACATGACCTACATTCAGTTATATGTAACTGATATCAATTTGAAATATTGAGATTTTTGATTGACATAACGCTTGTGGCACACTTTTCTTGTTCTTATCTAATTTGTCATAACCGTTTTGTTACACCTGCAAAATAAATGTATACTTTGAGAAAATAATTACACCATGTTGAACATTTATTCTCCTTTGTCAGGAAAAATTTTAATGAAACTTTAAATGTTCATACAATTCTGTTAAATCATTTCAACTCTGGGGGAAAAGAGGTGGCATTGTGTTTAAAGCCTCCGTTCATTCTGGGAGTTTGATTACCCCATGGGTACACTGTGCGAAGCTCATAGCTGGAATACTAAGAATAAGAGTGTGTGCTTTGTTTGAACTGATTGGTTGAAAAACGTGATTTATTTCAATTTGTCTGACTGATCAATTCGATTTATAAATTTCAGTAAATTCAGTTTCCAAGAATAAAACATGTCAGTAGAGACAATATCCTATGTCACAAGTCACAATATATTTATGATGTGTATCTAAACAGTGTGTTCAGACTTTGAGTATCTGAACTTCAGAGCGGGGTCACTATCCATCATTGTCATGAACAATTTCAAGCAGTAATCATCGCTGTGCAAAAAAATGAAAGAGGATATAGATTGCCAGGCAAAATTGACCTGGAGTTTGTCGCGTTGAAACATTCCAAGGGGATTTCAAGAGGACACGGGTGGGCGAGTCGTCCAACGCGCTGCAAATCGCTGTGCAGAGTTGTGGCCCATGTGCACCCCAGATGATTGTGGGTTCGAATCCCGGTTCGACCCGGTTCTAGGTTTGTCAGTACCATGCCTAAGTGGTAAGCCGGGGTAGAATAGGTCTTCAGCAACCCATGCTTGCCGTAAAAGGCGACAATGCTTGTACGAGGCGACTATGCTTATCGTAAGAGGCGACTAACGGGATCGGGTGGTCAGGCTCGCTGACTTGGTTGATGCATGTCATCGATCCCATTTGCGTTGATTGATGCTCATGATGTCAGTCACTGGATTGTCTGGTCCATTATTTTACAGACCGCCGTCAGTGTACAGGAACACTGTATAGCACTTACCACGACGTCATCAACAGAACCAGGTGGGTGCCAAGCCATGACGAACCCTCGCCAAGACATATGGATTCCAACCATGTATCTTTCAAACAGGTTCCACACAACTCTCACAGCCTTCAATAGAAACACAGCATGATCTGCGAGGACAGTCTGACGACGTTAGCACATCTATCCCATCCATGCGAAGAGCCCAGCCAGACGACCAATCGTGACCGCAGAGCATCACCATGGACGTCTCCAGTGGTGCAGACAACACCTTGCAGTGGACAGCACGTCAGTAGAGAAGTGTCCACTTAAATGGTCCATTACGTTTCCTTCTGCCTGCAACATCCCTGAGCTGTTAACAATCAAACAAGTTTGCAAGATTCGGCTTATTCTCCCTCAGACGCATAATGGCATTCCCTGGGCCTTTCTTCAACGTTTGGCGCCTCATGCATCCTTTCCTGCATCAATGTACAAGATGGACACACTCGCTGCTGCCTCTGGAGCCCCTCATGTGACAGTACTTATGACAGGAACTGTTGCTCGTGACCTTCAGACACTGTTATTTCCATGCCATGCCCATACTTCCATCCACGGCAGTAATTTTTTTAATTCAAATTCAATGTTTTTTGTATGTCACAATAACATATGCCTTTGAATGTACATGTACATACATAATTTCGTTATTTGTATCATGTTTCATTCCCTGAAGTCATTTTTAGTCGCCTCCAAGAGATGATGAGCATGCATGTTTCAAGCAAACGCGGCTCACGCGGTACATGGGGTGGCATGTCCAACACGTTTCAAGTAATTAATTGCATAACTGCCTCAAATAAGTTAACTTTACAGATCTGTGACAACATCTGTGTCTATTAGCATATGAAAATCATCCTGTATACCAAGTATGCACTGCATATGTATTACAACGTACTTCATAGCATTGAGACACTTTTGCATTATTCATGAATTATTTATGGGGACAATTATGTCGCCCACAGTGGAAAGTTACAGGAAGTCCCTGTTTAACTGGCAAACACACTCGAGATCACAGGAGGGCTAACACGGTTAGTATCTAATTTTAAGTCTAAAAATGAGTGAGTGAGTGAGTATGGTTTTACGCCGCTTTTAGCAATATTCCAGCAATATCACGGCGGGGGAAACCAGAATTGGGCTTCACACATTGTACCCATGTCGGGAATCGATTCCGGGTCTTCGGCGTGACGAGCGAACGCTTTAACCACTAGGCTACCCGACCGCCCCTTCTAAAAATGATGAAATGTTCACAAGAATCTCAAGTCCAAGTGAAATACGGTGACATGGCACTTTTCTGTATGTGGTATTTTGGTACATGATTAGTATATAGCGCAGATCAACATTAGTGTTTCATTTTCTTTATTAATCTGACCAGTTTTAACAGTGATGAATCAAGATATTGGCGTGTATGTCCCTCCTTATGATGACTGTAATTTTCTTTGAGAAGTTCTTATTCAATTTTCAATATGGTAGTGATGTTAATAATTGACATATTATTAACATTTGAGTTAAACGATAATATTAATGTTATTTTACATTGAGAAACAAGATACGTGTTTTGAGACAGCTTTTATCCGATTTTCACCCCTCCTCACATTCTGTTCTAAAGGGAGCATTAACTCTATACTTATTATGATGCAAAACTTAATGTTTAAAATAATCAAATCATTTATCCCTTTAACAAATGCATGTCGTGTCTCAACATTTGCATCATTGACAAAGGAAAGAGTTTGTGTTTTGCAAAGTTAATTGTAATGTAATATTTGGCACGTTCGGGGTTCAAATAATTTATTCTTAGATTTAATTAATGTATATTCAGGAGCATAACACATTCGTGTCCGTACATTTGATATGACATGAGATTGGAGATTGTAATACTTCTTGGGTTCTTTTAACTACACAGGTAAACTCTCGATTAATATAAATCTATTTACTTTGAGGGCATGCTTCCTGGAAATAACTCCTACCAGTATTAATACGGAAGACCACAAGAACTGGACGTACGAACTGAAGCGCTCATAAAATATGGTCAATAGTTTGGTGTTGATAACACAGTGCACCATCTCCCTTCTTCAAAAACAATATTTCACAGACATAATTAGGGGCGGGCCATTTGATTTCTAGGAGGGGGCAGGCTGGTTTTTTTTAAAGAAATACAGCTCATAATTTTGTTTAAATAAAAATACTCAGCCTCCATTTGCTTTAAAAAAAATAACTCAGCCTCAATAAAACGTCTCGGCCACAATATGGCCAATACAGAATATTTCGTGAGCAAAGCCATAATCTTTGACAGGAACAGCATGCCTGTTACCCTTATCTTATCAAATCCTCCATTTCAAGAGGCCATAACAGTTGTTGATTCGATGGGAAATGACCATAATGATCATATGCCCTTACATGGAAACTGACGAGGAAACGAAACGTTACCAATCAGCATTGTTTGTTCCTAAAAACAGAACAGGAAGATACTTGTTTGGCCAAAGACATGAATTAACAACATCATTCCAAGTTACACCATGGAATCAAATTCGTCTAAAATGTACCCAATTGCAGTTTGAGATGCATCAGTTGTGAGGATGAAGGGTTTGTTTTGGTTGGGATATGCAAGGAAGGGGGCTTATCGAATGCCTGTTGGCAATTGTTGGACCATTCGAAAAACACTTCTTTTTTTCAGATGGTTGTATAGAGGGGAGGCGATGCCAGAAGATTTGCTACAAGTCTGTGCTAATAGGGGACCAGATCTAAGAGAAGACACACGTCAGGGACATTTTAAGAGGGTGGGATCTGTGTAACTGAATCTATCTTTGAAGTAGATCAACATGGATGCCATTTTAACTGAAGATATGCCCTAAGTAGGTGACTTGTTTTGTCTCATATTACGTTTGTTTGGTTTTAGAGTTAGTCCTGCTTCTTTGATCTTTTGAAATACTGAGTGAGTGAGTGAGTGAGTGAGTATGGTTTTACACCACTTTTAGTGGGGGAAACCAGAAATGGGCTTCACACATTGTACCCATTTGGGAATTGAATCCTCGTCTTCGGCGTAACAAGCGAACGCTTTTACCACTAGGTTACCCGACCGCCCCCTTTTGAAATAATGCCTTGAGGTGACTCAAATATTCCAAAAACGTTTTAGAAAATATTTTGTTATATACATATATTAGTATGTAAAGCCAATTCATTTCTTTATTACCTATGAATGGTTTGCAGAAATGAGCATTTTTGAGGGCAAAAGGGAGGCGAAGGGGTCTGGTGTCACCTGTTTCTACTCTGTGATGATGTAAATGAGCGTGTCCCAATTCAGACCAATCTGACGCAGAACTGATCTTTGTGATTGTAGAAATGCATTTTACTGAGTACTTGGATTTTCATGATTTTATGATGACTGAATATAACACTTTGGGTAATTAATTTAAGATAGTAAATACAGAATATTCACAAATATCATCATTAACTCTATTTACATAAGTATATCTTTCATACACCTGGCATCATGGGGGCACTTATTAACATTATAAAGTTGTTTGAGACTGAACTTATTTTGATGTTCAGGCTGTGTACGTGACAGCTACCGTACCCTACGTCGTCCTGATTGTCCTGCTGATTCGTGGTCTGACTCTACCTGGAGGAACAGATGGAGTTCTGTTTTACATCACTCCAAACTTCAGTAAACTCCTGGAGATACAGGTAGACTATCTTATATCGACTGACTCATCGCCAATACTTTGTATACACAATGTTCATCCACCACCCGTGAACACATTCATGATGCGATGTAGTTGTGACGCGTGAATTCTTGAATTTCGTTACAAGAAATACTTTGTAAGTATCTTGTATGTGTGCCAATGACATTATATCTATGATTCTGAGGAGAATTTATAAACTTCTAGAGATATAGGTAACATTTCAATAAATAAACAAAACAGACAGCTCTATGCATGAAATTATACATATTTTCGATCTTGGATCATTAATTTGTTAATTGAAACTATTGTGATTTTCATCTCAGCGTTAATATCTGAAGGGTTTGTCTTGAGTACCTCCCTCCACCACCGGACCCGTGAAGATCCGGGGTAGAATAGGTCTTCAAAAACCCATGCTTGCTGTAAAAGGCGATTATGCTTGTCGTAATAGGCAAATAACGGGATCTTGTGGTCAGGCCCGCTGACTTGGTTGATGCATGTCATCGATCCCAATTGCTTGGATCGATGCTCATGATATCAATCACTGGATTGTCTGGTCCAGACTCGATTATTTACAGACCGCCGTCATATAGCTGGAATATTGCGGCTTTAAACAACAAACCAACCAACCAACCCTCCACCACCACTGAATACATTCGGCTGTTTTGCGGGGTGGTCACTGATTCTAACCAACCAATCAATGCACGGCCTGATTACAGCGAGGGGAAACCAGCGAGTGCACCTGTAGATCAATCATTACATCGGTAGTATCTTGGACGCGACGTTACACCCCATTTAACCTCACCTACATCGGTAATAAGTCTCTTGAAACTTACAACAGCATTTGGTCATCGGCTCTACACATTGCTTCAATATGAGGCAGCTGTAGTATAGCTTTGCACAATGTTATGGGTTAAACCAGTCGTTTTCCACTACCATAGATTTCATGGGATTTCACTGTAAGTACACATTCCCTCATAAGAGAATCATATACATTATCATCCAGTATGTAATACAGTGATTTTGGTGGTTTAGCTTAGACCCGTTTTTCTTTATGGCTTACGAATTCCACCGACCCTAAACAATAAACAGTAGAATAAAAATAAATTCTGAAAAGCAGCATTGTTTTATTCTACTGAAGGCAAACTTTTCACCACAATTGAAACTGCGCATTTTATTGTCATCACAGGCAACATATTCATGAACAGGTAACATATATTTTAACAGAAACAAAATTGAAAATACTTTTATATTGTATATTTTCGCCACCTGTCGGCCAGGAACTTACACCTAAAACTAGAATCTGACCTTATGTGCGAATTGCATCGCAAAGAAAATATGTTTGTGACTACCCTATACATATATATATATTTTAATACGTTAGTGTTAGTTTCCCTGTGTTGACTGCAGGTGTGGTTAGAAGCCAGTCTCCAGGTATTCTAATCCCTGGGCCCGGCTTGGGGCTGTATCATCACCATGGCCAGCTACACCAATTTCAATACCAACTGCCTCAGGTAATATCAGGCTTTTCAAGTTAATATGCCCATAACTACAAATGGCATACGTTGACATGATCTCATCTGACTGAAAGTCAAATGAGCTTAAGTTGTTGCGTCTTGTCCGCCGTCCTGAGCCCGTTGTCTATTGCCTGTTGCCAGATGTCACCATCTACAAACATGTACACCAAAACCAATGCACCAAACAATACTCAATCTGCACAGGTTTTCTTGTTCGCATGAATGATGGAACCCAAATTTCTGATGCGATTTATGGCAGCCATATTGAAGAACACGCTTATAGCATATTGTCAAATTTCTCATGATCATAAGTTTGATTTGAACTTGCCTTTTGACCATGCTCTTGCATTCTGACCATGCTCTTGCATTCTGTCAAAATGTATGTTGGACTCAGGAGACATCATTTCTACCACTCTACCGTACTGAGCAGCTGTACATGTGTTGCCGGAGCTGTGATGAACTCTGCATTTAGTAGAGATTCCGTATGATAATTGAAATGCTTCTGGCGCTTTAATTTCACTTAAATATATCATTGTTTGTTCAAACATAATGTTCGTTATTTGTTAAATTAATTATACAGAGTGTTCAAAGATATTATTCTCAAGATTGACAACCCCTTGCATACATAATACTGGCTATAAAAACAATCAAAGCTTCAAGAGAGGCACTTAACTTCAATGGACGCAAATGATATTGTCCTAACAGAATGTGTCTTGACCAGATTAGCTGAAACCCAGCACACAGTTTTGTCTCCAAATAAGTTTGAAGTTTCATAAAATCACCAACACGAATACTAAAAACGACATAACCTTGTCCATTCTCATATGAAATCTCTGCTAGCAGTACAGTCAACGATCCGATTCTTACTTCATCACTACATGTATTTATGAATCGTTATCCAAAAGTGATGACGCCAGATGTTTGCGAAAGGGAGATCGTATCCCGCCCTACCGGTGCCACCCGTCTTTAACACATGCAAAGGCAAGTCAAGTATTCACTTTAACATATGGTAGAAATCAAAATAGGACATTGCATCGGATATAATTGTGGTCACTGAAGCGTCGGATTTGAAATGCCATTCACATGTCTACCCTAAACTTTTTGAAAGGTTCTCTTGCTGTAACTATTGTGCAACAGTTGTATGGCATTTTTGAAAGCTTGGTAGAAAGGGGGCATTCTCTTGTCATACGGCGTTTATGATTGTTATCACTCTGAAACTTTATGGATAGATCTTCATATGAAACAGGTGATGTGGTTTCCACCGAGCTCTTTTATTTCTAGTCCAGGTTGGTAAATCAGTGGAAAAAAATTGAATACAATAAACTACGGTTATAACGAACTCAAAGGGACTACTAATTTTAGTTCGTTATAACCGTTGTTCGTTATAAGCATATATACAACATAACTACAGCAAATTTTAGGCACAAAAAAAGACAGTTCGTTATAAGCGTGTTCGTTATAAACGTAGTTGACTGTATTTGACCGTTATTGGACCAAATTCCCCTGTTTTGATTTTGCCAACCCGAGCAGAATATCTAAATTCCATTAGGTTAAGGAAATAGATCAGCAAGGAGAAGACCACGAATAGTGCCAATGTGGATACTACTTTGCCTTAATGTCATCTCCCTAAACTTCACACAGATGGTATCTAGGCGAAACTCCAGCATTTCACATATTGTTTCGTCATTTAACTTCATATAAGTAAACATTGGCTTGAATCTTTTACCATTTTTCCTGCACCTTTGAAGATGGACAATCCCAGACGAATTCCGTGGTCGCGGAAAGGTTTACAGGAAAAGTAACTGACCGCAGAATTGAGGAAAATTCACGTAATTTGCTCTTTTTTTCAAAATCCATCAATTAACTAATTTTCATTATTTTAAGTTTACCTATGTAATTCTGCACTCGAATGATGCCAAACATTTAACATGTGATTCAAACATACAAAATACGAATCATATAATAATCAAACAAAATTGGAAATTTATTATGTAATTAATTAAGTAATTTTGACTACATACAGTTGAAAAGTCTAAATATTTAGCAAGGTATTTAAAACAAATAGAGAAGTAATTGGGTTTGTGTTAACTCTTGCGGGGAATATGGTAACGTTTTAACCGCAATATTTGCAGCAGATGTTTGTAATTTTAGCCGAATAATTTTGAGAACTTTTAATTACCTCCGAATTCGTCTGGGACTGGATTGAGATGTAAGTATGACAAATTCCCCACAGATCAAGGAAAGAAATTGTTCCTTACGTTTGTTGTGTAGAATAGAGGTGTACTGCAGAGTGGAAAAAACAAATGTTTGATAGAACTGAATATGGTTCTTTACTTAAGTATTCAAGCAAATCCTTTGAGGTTAAGAAATTCTTTTTAAAAAAAGAACGAAATGTGATAAAACTATTGTTGTTGCAGATATATTTTAATATATTCACAGAGGAAAATATATACGGATATCAATGTAAACGAAAATTTGATGTCTCTGTTGACATTGTGAACTGTTTACTGCATATGCACGTGAGCTACAGTGCCGTAGCACTATTTTTACATTTTTACATGTTTCTTTCATCACAATGAAATCATATCGTTTTTCACCGCATAAAATGTCTGAATAAGTCAACATTACAATTTCAACATTAAGCAAGATCCCAATGTATGTTTTAAAATATTATAAGAATTCTTTTCTTCTTAATTCAGGAATGCGATTCTTTTCACATGTTTGTGTGAAGGAACAAGCCTGTTTGGTGGCCTTGTTATCTTCTCAGTCCTGGGGTTCATGGCCCACAAGGCCCACGTGCCAATAACGGATGTTGTTTCATCAGGTTTTTATGTCTCACACATGCCTAGAAACAATTTAAATCGTATACTAGTATCTATAACGTTTCAATCAAGCCTAAAAACAAATCTAAATACTTATTTTTCTCAATTTTACAACCGCGTTCACCTACGGTATCCATATTGTGTCATACTGCAAACAAGATTTTAACCTGACAATCCTATATTTCGACAATGCCCTGTTTCAGATAACAGGTATCTACCCTTTACATTCCGGGGTAGAATAGGTCTTCAGCAACCCATGCTTGTCGTAAAAGGCGACTAACGGGATCGGGTGGGCAGACTCGCTGACTTAGTTGATGCATGTAATCGATCCCAAATGCGATGCTCATGATAGCAATCACTGGATTGTCTGGTCCAGACTCGATTATTTACAGACCGCCGTCATATAGCTTGAATATTGCTGAGTGCGGCGTTAAACAACAAACCAACCAACTACCCTTAACAGATGACAGGATACAATACCAGCAAAACACACATAATAACACAGTCTCACGCGTGTATTTACGACAATGTAAAATGAAAAAAAATGTTTATGATTCATTTTCTGTAATAGGACCTGGATTGGGCTTTGTTATTTACCCAGAAGCCCTTGCACAACTTCCGCTTCCTCAATTGTGGAGTTGTTTGTTCTTCATCATGCTCATCTTCCTTGCATTGGACTCGATGGTAGGAACATCAACATTAACTTTGTATACTCTTGTTTCAAAATACTGTATAAAGAAATATATACCCACATTAAATTTAAATATCCTAAAAAAAACATCATAAAGATGTCTTTTTCCAACTCAGTTCCAAATCACCTCAATTCTTCTTCATGCTTTCTTCAGAAGACAAATTATGGTAGAGTAGTCTTACGGTGCATGGGCGGTGGGGTATCCTAGTGGTTAAAGCGTTCGCTCGTCACGCTGAAGATCCGGGTTCGATTCCCCACATGGTCACACTGTGATGCCAATTTCAGGTGTCCCCCGCCGCGATATTGCTGGAATATTGCGAAGAGCAGCATAAAACATTCTCGCTCACTCACTCACTTTAGGTGCACTTTAGGAAATTAAGCTCCAATGGTTTCAACATACAGTCCTACATCACTTCCTGCGTACTAATAGTAGATTGTTCCAATAGGCTCTATAGACAGATTTACATGTAGCCACAGGTTTGCGGCAATCGGGGGAAAATGATTTGCAAATGAGTGGAACTTTGCTAGATACACTGGCTCAAGCGACAGTAAATATCACCAAACAGCTTGCTTTGTTTCGATATCTATTCAGAAATGATGACCCATTTAATCGTACAAATATTCTTTTATGTCATGTAAAGATGCAAGGCACGTTTCACCGTTCCAGAACTTTTAGGATGAACTTGGCCAGTGTTATTTCATCACAGTACATCACTTATCAGGGGGAACTGATACAGATCATGGCAATCATTCTTTTTGTAACATGGGAGTCACTGGATTTTTTCTGTTTGTAAAAACGACATGAAATGGAAAAACCATAAAAGTATTTTTTTTTAAAGATTTTCCTAACATTCAAATGACAAATGCATGTCATTTCCACAAGTGAAGCTTAATTGAGATTACATCCCTGCAGTTCTTAGCATAACAATAAATTGTGTTCGTAAAATATTCTGATAAATTATTGTTCCTTGGAAACAAATAAATATTTATTTATAAAAGTAATTTATTCACGTAAAGCTTACACCTTGTTTTCCTTTTTCGGTTCTCGATGGTTGAGACAACTGTAACTGCCATCTTAGATCAATACCCAGCCCTTCTGAGGTGGAGGTTACTAGTGAATGGCGTTTACTGTCTTGTATCATTCTTCATTGGGCTTGTGATGACCACTGAGGTCAGTATAGGTATTTTTTCAGCATAACATCATACATGTATTCCAAATGGCATTAACCTTTGTTTAACATAACCTCATACATGTGATCAGAATATCATCAGTCCTTTTTTCAACATATAATCAACAGTTATATGTTCAACATATCACCAACCATATGTTTAACATGTCTCCTGATATTTTTCAACATACAATCAGACTTTTGATCAACATATCATCTAATTTTTGTTAAACAAATACCTATTAGTAAGTATAGGTTCAATATATTCCCAGACATATGTTTAATTCGGGTCTTTCTTGTAACGACGAAATGCTTCTACAAAGAAACTTGTCCAAAATAGATCAAATCATCATCAGAAAAGGAGCCAGCCCCATCACAACCGTTCCCTGAATGCCCCAAAATCTTTCCCACCAGACGCCTGTATCATGAACATTTTGACTTCACCATTTCAGATTACAGTTGACCTCACCGGTACCTCTCCTTTTACGTCTTTCACTACAGACCCGTGAAGATCCGGGGTAGAATAGATCTTAAGCAACCCATGCTTGACGTAAAAGGCGACCATGCTTGTCGTGAAAGGCGTCTAACGGGATCGGGTGGTCAGGTTCGCTGACTTGGTTGATGCACGTCATCGATCCCAATTGCGTGGATCGATGCTCATGATATTAATCACTGGATTGTCTGGTCCAGACTCGATTATTTACAGACCGCCGTCATATAGCTGGAATATTGCAGAGTGCGGCGTTAAACAACAAACAAACCAACCAAACAAACTTTGACTACACATCTCCTCTAATGCCAAACAAAATAGCAAGCGTGAGACACAAATTATAAGCACTTCTGTTTTAATGACACCAATTTGGGAAACACGTATCTAATGCAATTCTTTACAAAAGGTGGTTAGGTCAGTACAAAAACGGGCAGAACTACATTACGGACGATCGTTTCTGTGACCTTGTCCTTGAAAGCCGTTCAACACGTTACAATACAATACCACTGTCTAAGGGTGATGTACACCAAATTTCATCCTATTACAGCGTATACTCCTTCCGTTTACGTACGCGAACAAAGTATACTTTTTTTACTTAATGTTATTGATAATGAATTTGTCCTTTAATAAATTATCAAGATTGCTATCACTTGTGATACATATGTATTCAAATGATATAACGAAAACATACATAAGACTTAAAAAAGAAAAAGGCATTTACTAAAAACTCAAAAATATACATGTACTTTACGAATGACCTTCACTGTGACCTTGTGGTTCAACACTAAAGATGAAATAGAATAAAATAGAATATGCTACTCATTGAAATAAGGTCACCTACGTCTGATTTCATAAGATAAAATGCCATCACTTGTCATAGAAGAGTACTCAAACAACATAAGCACGATTTTTTATATGATAATCACAAAATTTGCAAACCTTCTTTACGAATGACCTTCGCGGTTACCTTGCCATTGTGCGTAGGTTTCTCAAAGTCTTTACGGCTAGCGGCCCCAACCCAAGGATAACGAGTTCCAAGTGTTATTAACATACAGCAAATGTCCCTTGAGGAATTATCAAGCGAGCTTTCCTTCAAGATGCGTCCTTCACCCTTGACATGACCAGTCAATGTGTCACCTTCCCATGACTAGGATTTGGTTTGGTTTTGGTTTGTTGTTTAACGCCGCACTCAGCAATATTACAGCTATATGGCGGCTGTCTGTAAATAATCGAGTCTGGACCAGACAATCCAGTGATTAATATCATGAGCATGCATCAACCAAGTCAGCGAGCCCGACCACCCGATCCCGTTAGTCGCCTTTTACGACAAGCATAGTCACCTTTTACGGCAAGCATGGGTTGCTGAAGACCTATTTCTACCCCGGAATCTTCACGGGTTACATGACTAGGAAGGGGAAATGCATGATGCCGTATCCCCGAAGTGTCCACGCTCTGTGTAAACTGTTGGTCACATTTGTTCTAAACCTTAGTGCATCACCATTTATATGGGCAACCTAATAACCTTTTTCACCATTCCCCTCTGCTTTTCCAGGGTGGAGTGTACGTGTTCCAGTTGCTGGACTGGTACCTTGTTGCCATTTTTCTCATTTTCACAGGTTTGGTGGAGTCTGTCACAGTTGCATGGATCTATGGTATGAATTGAATAATGCTTTCAAACAGTTCAATGAAGCAGATGATTGAATTTTTTCCTCATTACGCTCATGTTTTTATTGTAAACAAAACATCCAACCAAACACATTGACACTTTAAAAGATCACCATGATAGCGTGACTCGATTCTAATCTCGTATATGTAATTGGATAATGTTAATAATATCGAATTGGATAACTATTGGACTGGACGTGAAGGGTGCGGGGATACTGTAGGCATAATCGTTCCAGCTGAGGGTTGGGTCCAAACCTGCTTAGGTGCATAAGAAGCCCGTGAAGATTCCGGGATAGAATTGGTCTTCAGCAACCCATGCTTGCCGTAAAAGGTGACTATGCTTGTCGTAAAAGGCGACTAACGGGATCGGGTGGTCAGGCTCGCTGACTTGGTTGATGCATGTCATCGATCCCAATTGCGTGGATCGATGCTCATGATATTAATCACTGGATTGTCTGGTCCAGACTCGATTAGTTCTAGACCGCTTTCATATAGCTGGAATATTGCTGAGTGCGGCGTTAAACAACAAACCAAGGTGCAGAAGATGCCACATGCTTCCATTTCACTGATTCACGTCTCATCACCCGTTACCAAGCATGGTACAAACTTTTTTTCATCCGTGTTCAAGGGACTCTTGACTGTACACAATCATTTGGTGAAGATCAAGCAGATGATGGTTCCTGGGTACTCATAAGACACATTAGAAATGTCATTGTGTTGGTAAATGATGCGTTCAATTCTACCCACTGAAACTACAAATTCACGGGATAGATCCATTACTTTTACGTTTTTAACTCTCTGGGCCATCGACTTCCAATCGTGGCATGAGGGTCATCATTCCCCATCACTTTGACCATTCGATCATGTATTTCGTTCGCTGGTAAGAAAGGAGACGCCCTTGCTTCATAAGGTGAACTATTTTTCATGTATGAAGTACAGTTTTGTATTTTTTAACGTGTAATCAGCATATGACTGTCAACCAAATGCCACAAACTCTCCCCACTAGCTGTAATAGCACTATTGATATTGTAGGACACCCCCAGAAATAAATCATATTTGAGATGTTTTTCAGTGGTTTTGTTTTTCAAAATCTCATGTTTATAGAAATTAACACATGTTTAAAGACATTCACAAAGGTGTTTATAGACATTTACAAATGTTTATTCTTTGTTTGTTTGTTTGTTGTTTAACGCCGCACTCAGCAATATTCCAGCTATATGACAGTGGTCTGGAACTAATCGAGTCTGGACCAGACAATCCAGTGATTGACTTCATGAGAATCGATCCACGCAATTGTGATCGATGACATGCATCAACCAAGACAGCGAGCTTGACCACCCGATCCCGTTAGTCGCCTTTTACGACAAGCATAGTCACCTTTTACGTCAAGCTAGGGTTGCTGAAGACCTATTCTACCCCGGAATCTTCACGGGTCTCTACACGATTGGGATACGATGACATGCATCAACCAAGACAGCGAGCCTGACCAGCCGATCCTGTTAGTCGCCTTTTACGACAAGCATAGTCACCTTTTACGGCAAGCATGGGTTGCTGAAGACCAATTCTAACCCGGAATCTTCACGGGTAGTATATTGTTTCCAGGTATTGACCGTTTCAGTGACGACGTCGAACTGATGATTGGCAGACCAGCTCCTCTGTTCTTCAAGATTACATGGTGTTATGTCACCCCAGCCATGCTTCTGGTTAGATTTGATTCATTGTTTGTTGTAGATCTAACTAATTTACTTAACAAGTGATTAAATATTTTAGCAACGATGCATGCGGTCAGGTACGATGATATGCAAGTCATGCAACCCGGTCCGGTTTGTACCTGTAATGAGTTTGGGAAGTTTATTAGTCGGTTCTACCGGTAAGACAAGGCATGCAGACCCTCTTCGCGAACACTTGACGTCATCCATTCTTATAATGTTCAACACTATTTTACCCTCTACGCCCAATATAATCTGTTTCCACGGATGCTAATGACTTTTATCCTCTGGCGTTGACGTCATATATTTTATATTTGAACCTGACCTTCTCCAGATACCTGGGTGGAGATAGGATACATGTCCGTTTTAGTCCACTGGAAATCTGAAATATCACAAATGAAATGTGAAAATGGCAGGCTTTTCGAAACTTGAAGACATAACCTAATTATGAGGAAGCCGGACCCAAGATGACTTTGCACTAAGTCTTGTTTGTAATAAGTACATTTATATATGCTACTGGGGGAAAATTCTAGCCCTGGACCTCTTGGGGTGTCTGTGTTTTGATGCCATGTCCTGCTGAAAATAATGAGATTGTGTTTGAATGACTTTCCCTATCCCCTGTAAGGTACATGCATTGCAAATAATTGAAAACGTTTTAGTGTGTGAATGGATAACTTTGATGTCAGTTTGTGAACTTTCAAAGATATTATTGTTCGATCAATATATATATATATATATATATATATATATATATATATATATATATATATATATATATTATATAACAATGTTTTGTTTTGTAGGTACATGTATGTGTGATTTGTTTTTATGTCAGTATTAGTATTCTTTACAAAGGGTTATTTCTTAGATAATGGTCCGCCTTTATGCCAAATGTAAGTCAGCATGAAACCTTACCGACAAACTGATTTCACTTTTCAGACAACTCTCATCTTCACCTTCCTTCAGTACCAACCGCCAACATATGGCAAGTATGTGTACCCCTATTACAGCACCGTAATTGGCTGGATCATCGCAGCGCTTCCCATGATACCTGTCATCTTAGTGATGACCGTTGCTGTTTACAAAGCCAATGGAAATCTCTATCAGGTAATCAAACGTAATGTCAATAAAATGTGTATAATATGTGAAATGCATACATACTAAGTAGAATTTTCATCTCTACAACCGTTATAGAAAAGGAAAACAAATTCATGTTCAAAAAACCTCTGCTGAGTTTTGACTCAATTATTTGTTTCTATGAGGTCAATCTCATTAAAATCAGACCTTAGTTCTCGCTACCGCTAAACAAAGATCTGAAGACATCCCATTTGGGGTCACGTCAGAACGACCTTTCATCCGACCAATCAGAGCGTCACTTACCAGATTATGAAAGTGACAGTCGGAATGTGATTTCTAGTCATGCAACCACGAAAACTTTAACACAGGGTATTCCGAACGATAGTTACGGGTTTAACGACCGAATCCATGCAATCTAGACTATCTATTAGCCATTCCAGAATATTCTTTTGTTCAGGTTTCAAATTTGTAATGGAGAATCTGTCATAATATGTTTCGAAGCGTAGTCACCAATTTGAAATTAGTGCCGTAAAGCTGGAGAAAGCTGTCTTATGATTGGTCATTCCATTGGTCGGTCAAAGTTTGCGCAAGGTCGGTCTGACGTGACCCGTAATGGGATGTCCTCAGATCTTTGTTCAGCGGTAGCGAGAACTAAGATCTGATTTTAATGAGATTGCTATGAGGTAAGATTCTGTTGTGTAAAGCTGCTTGTTGTATTTAAGAGAGTCAAGAAGTCTCTTGCACCAGATGCATTCTGGTGCCCAGCTGAGAAATCCTACTGTGCACAGTACCTGAAGAAACTTAGAAAACCTTCAACCCTCAAAGATGCCTTCAAATCGTCATTGACATGCAAATAATAATGCCTACTTACTTATGCAACATAAGTGGTTGTCCTACCAGTTACATACGAGTTTTTGACGTTTCATATAAACCAGTCCTGTACGTTCTAGTGCAAAGGACGAGGTAAGATAAGGGTCCTCTTTAGCCCACTGGAAATGTGTATTAGTAAACGTGATAATAAAAATGGCAGATTTTTCATACTTGAAAAGATAATCTACCTAGAACCAGGTCCGTGACCCAAGGTGATATGTTTTTCAATATGTTTGTACCTTTTTTTATATCTGTATCTAAAAATCAGCTTGCTCATGTTCAAATATTAGAAATATGCCACTTAAAACTTCAAAAGTTGGCATTTTGGACCCATTAAGATTTACCTCTACATGTAGTTGTGTCATTATTCCCAAACATGCACTTGCTGACATGATCAGCCAATGTCAAATTCATATTAATATCAATAAATCAACATATCTGATAACTCTCAAGCTGAAAAATGTGATTTACTCTTAAGGGCCCAGCCTAGCATAGTAATAGTCCAAACTTGGTTCTCTGCATGCTTAGCGATTACGATGTATATCTATCCAGCAGCTTACGTTTGACTTCAGTCCTCAGAGACAGTTTAGATTTAGACTTATAATGTGTCTGAGACATGTCCATACTCCTTAAATGATCTCTAAATCATTCGTATGCATAGCTATATGTGTATTGTAACTGTTATATTCATATGCCCTTTATTTTATATAGAGATTACAACATTAGTGTGTATCGTAATGATAGAGCGTCTCTCTCGCTGGGGAAAAACAAAATTATGACACAAATTTGTAAAATCTGCAGGATAATAATATTTTTATAATAATATATTTTATCAATCACAATCTCTAAAACAATCCCATTTGTGGTGCACCCTACCGTGATACTGCTTGAATATAGCTAAGAGAGACGTAAAATCATACTCACTTTTTAGCAGCAGCGAATAATGTAGCTGATGTGACTAAAGTAGTGTTTTTCATGTTTCTGTGTTAACACACAGCCACGTTGATTAGGCGCAGCAATTAGCTCTTCGGAGTTGAGTCTCTTATGCGTGCCCGAAACCTATTACCGTAGGATCGAACCCCGTTCTGAGTAAAAAAAACAACATCACTATATTACCGTTGACGACTGTATATTGATAATCTAAAGCTGACAAAGCTTACGTTAACAATGCTGCAGTTGTGGTGAATTAAATAATGCGCTTCGTTAATGTGTAAAATACATACATGTATGAACAATGTTGAGTCTTGAATCTAGATCTTTTTAGATAACACATTCCTATTGTCACCTGTTTCTTAGATAATGTTACAGATTAATTCATTTATATTTTTCGTTGCTTTTGAATAACATGTGATAATAAAAACCCTCACTTCCATCAATTAGTATTATGTATCACTTGTTTAACGCCGCAATATTCTATCTATATGTCTGTCAATAACCAGAGTTTGGACTAGACAATCCGGAGTGAGTGAGTGAGTGAGTGAGTGAGCTAGTATGGTTTTACGCCGCTTTTAGCAATATTCCAGCAATATCACGGCGGGGGACACCAGAAATGGGCTTCACACGTTGTACCCATATCGGGAATCGAACCCGGGTCTTCGGCGTGACGAGCGAACGCTTTAACAACTAGGCTACCCGACCGACCCGATAATCCAGACATTAACTTGTAAAACTTTATATTTTTCATTTAAAAGGTATTAATACAATCGCCAAATAATCAGTTGGGGACAAAAACGTCCTCGTCGCAGTGCAACCAGTGTACTGACCTAATTTACATATCTGTAAACATGCCTCATTATTAAACAATTACATGTCCTATATGACAGTTTTGGCAAAACTGTTGTAAAGCAGAACAGCAACACAAATAACATTACGAACTTAAAGGTCACTGTTCATGTTGGTGCTCCAGTGGGTTTCCACTACTCCAATGATGGAATGTCGGGCATTTCTATGGAATGTGTACATGTCAGTATAATTAAGTTAAGGAAAAGACACCTCGCGGGTTTCGTTGAAAATGTAAACACTATCCGAGAGAGATGTTTACATTTTCAACTTTAACCGAGAAATGTATTCACTTGTTTATAAACTGTCACAAACAAATTCTAGGGACTAAGTATTTTATTCTAAAAAGACATCTATTGCTCCAATGGAAGGTGTTACACCTAAAAGGGTTACAAGTTACTTCTTACTACTTTTTAATAAAACCCGGAGAACCCAATTGATAGATAACTTCATTATTCAGTGTAAAGATTGACTGCATTTGGGTTTTTTTACATCTCTATGTCTTAAGTTCGTGATATCAATGCAGTTTTTAATCGAAATTAAGACTTTTCGTTTAAAATGTCTTCTTTAGAGCATTTCTTAAGTCCAAAAGGTACCTAAGTCCACCTTTGGGAAATATGAATGTCAAACGAAAACAAATGGCATGTCTTGTGGCAAAAGTGCAATTTATTAAAATTTGCAGTTTGTCAAATTCGAAAGTTAAGAAAATGAAAAGAATAATCTTGACAACTTGACGAAACAAAGCAAAGATTGTAGACCACATAAAGGCCTGAAAGGCATTTTGAACTGTATATTCCTGTCATTACAATCTGATAATCAGAACTTATAACAACCTGGCTCGTGTAACAAAGTCTTCATCCCGAATACATCAACATACATAAACTTCAGAAAGCTGACAACGAACAGAACCTGAAAGAGATTTTGAACGGTATATATCCCATACATTACAATCAGACTTCTTCATCAGAATCATCTGCAACGCAGATCATGGAACATTGTCTTCATTGATCTAAATCATCACGATGACAGGCACCACAGCTTTTTCAGCATGATAAGAGCGAGCATGATTATCTGTAAGGTTCTTGTCAGCAGGATCGTTGAGATTTTTCAACTTAGCAGCGTTCAGTGGAACAGGACCTCCTGAAGGTCAGATTGATCACTCCTGTGTTTCATTGTTCTAAATCATCACGATGACAGGCACCACAGCTTTTTCAGCATGATAAGAGCGAGCATGATTATCTGTAAGGTTCTTGTCAGCAGGATCGTTGAGATTTTTCAACTTAGCAGCGTTCAGTGGAACAGGACCTCCTGAAGGTCTTTGGTCAGATTGATCACTCCTGTGTTTCCTTTGGATGAATTCACTATGGCTCCATTAAATTGAATTAATATACCCCCGTTTACGAAGTAAATCGGGGGTATATAGCGTTCCGTCTGTCCGTCCTTCCGTCCGTCCTTCCGTCCGAGCTTTTGTACGGCCCATAACTTTTTAACCATGCACCCTAGCTTCACCAAACTTTCTACACACATTTACGACAATGAGTACTTGTGCCTTTTGCTAGTTTGAAGATTATGAACTTTTTAATTTTTGCCGTTTCCATGGAAACATAAAGAAACTTAAACTTTTAGGTAGGGTGTTTTGTACGATCCATGTTTACAATATTATGTATCCTAGCTTCAGCAAACTTGCTACATTAACCACTATGATTGTTTTTTATCTTTTATAAGATTCTGAAACTTTTCTCTTTTGCTGTTTTCATGGAAACATGATGGAATTTAGAAATGTTGATGACTAGTTTTGTATAGCTCATGGGGTTACAAAGGAAAGGGCAGTTCCTCTGACTTAAAGCAACAGGTATATTTCATTACTAACAAAACTTTTTACTATTTGTTGTTGACCAGCGGGGATAACGGGGGTATGTGAGCTTTGCTCACTTCTTTCTTGTTTTCTCTTAAAGATCACATCCTTGTGAGAGGTCTCTAGAAAAGTGTCCAAGGCAAAGTTCCCATGCTTCTTACCATAGCTTATCCACTTCAAGGCCGAAACTGGAACTTTCTGGTTAATGTAGTCAAGAAACAATTTTCTGTGAGAACCTAACAATCCAAACATCGGAACATTCTAAACATCAACCACTTCCTAACAGCCAATGCCAGTTCCCATGCTTCTTACCATAGCTTATCCACTTCAAGGCTGAAACTGGGACTTTCTGGTTAATGTAGTCAAGAAACAATTTTCTGTGAGAACCTAACAATCCAAACATCGGAACATTCTGAACATCAACCACTTCATAACAGCCAAGACACAATGCATTGTCATTCTTGACGATCAATGGTCTGTACTCCCTCCTTTCCTCTTTGGATTATGTTGGAAATCTTTTCGTAGCCCGGAGTGACCCTTTTCAGGAGCAAGTGGTCAACTGAGATAAATATGTTTAATAAACAATTACACAAAACCAATTGTTATTTTGACCAACATGTCCCTCGCTGTACAATATGAAGTTTTTTGCACCATAAGAGTGATATTCAAGGTAATTTAGAAGGCAACATAAGTACCTCATCAACACCTCTACTAGATCTGTTTACAGGTCGCGGATAGATTGGTGCGAGTATGTTGATACAATCATGAAATCCAAAACTGTAGACCCACCGTTGTCGTTGTCGTTGAACAATGCACACATCTTAGTATGTTTAGTGCAGGATCTACATACAGGAGAGGTATGAGACTCAATGTGGGATTTTATCTTCTGAATAGTTTCCCCAGATGAAACTTTCCTGTTCTTGTGTCTCCCTCCAGTGTCTTGATGTAGCACTGTTTCCAAAATCGATTGCGGTTTGGGTTTCACATAAATACCTATTTGAATACATGTATGTCAGTGGTTCCTTCCTTGTGGACATAGTAAGTATGGTATAATCGGAATGGTCCGATTGCAAAGCCTTAAAGCCTCGCCATTATATTTCTGTAGAAATTTTATCTTCCTGTCATTATAGGGGGCACGGGTGGCCCAGTCGTCTAAGGCGCCGCGATTCGCTGTGCAGAGTTGCGTCCCTTGGGCACGCCAGAAACCTTTGATTGTGGGTTCGAATCCCGGTTCGCCCCAATTATGTTTCTAGGTTTGTCAGCACCATACCCGTGCTCGTGGGTTTCACCGAAGTGGTAAACGTCTGAGACCTGCATCACTTCGGGCTTTCCTCCCACATTAAGCTGACACGCCGTGATATAACTGGAATACTGTTAAAAGCGGCGTTAAACCCAACTCACTCACTCACTCACTCCTGTCATTATAGCACAATGCCATCTACAACAAATCGCGATTATAGCTGTGGTGTGTTTTCCTTCGCTAAGGTTGAAATTTTCGAACGAAAAAAGCCGAATCGCTTAGATAGCCGACCATGCATTTCTAATATACATTTGACGATCAAAGTTCATTGAGGGTTCACCGGGCGCGATTATCTATGGAAATGTCGTCAGAAGTATTGTTTCGCTGTAAAATATCTGATTTTAATGTACATGTGCGCCCTCAGCCTTGATATTGCTAGAATTTTGTTATACTCACTCACTCAAAATATGATCGGGATGTTAAGCCAAGCTGTGACCACTGAAAACCGAAATAGCGAAACTATTGTTAGAAGATTATTGAAAACGGTTTGCCAAGAACATCGTCATGTGCGGTTCATTACATTGTTATTGGGAGGTGTATTTTCTGGCATTTTGTGCAGCAACCGTGACATTAAGCGCCAGCAACGCCTCGATAAACATACAACACTTTTAGAATGGGAACAGGGTGCATACCCTATTGGCCCATGTGTCAGTTGGCCTGTACCAAAGGTGAAGGTGATTCCCATATGGCCTGCTCAACACTTTTCCCAATAATGTACACGCCGACTATGATTTGTTCTCACCTACTAGAACATGCAAGAAACATTGATGGCATATCTATAACTCAACTTTTACAGGAAATGGATAACGTACATGTATTTTATTAATTTTAACGTCTTGACTAATTACTCATCTTTAGGAGTGAGTGAGTATGGTTTTACGCCGCTTTCAGCAATAGTCCAGCAATATCACGGCGGGGGACACCAGAAATGGGCTCCACACATTGTACCCATGTCGTGAATCGAACCCGGGTCTTCGGCGTGACGAGCGAACGCTTTAACCACTAGCTAGGCTACCCGACCGCCCCTCATCTGTAGGAAATCTAGATTATTCGATTAATGATATCTTCATCAATCAACTTTTACAGGAAATGGATACACTGGTTTCACTAATTTAATCAATCATTACACAAGCGTTTCTCCCGGATTGTCTTGGCATAGATTAATGCTTTGCTATGTATACTAAGTGAGTTCAGTTATTTCACGGCGTGTCAGCTTAATGTGGGAGGAAAGCCCGATGTGATGCAGGTCTCAGACGTTTACCACTTCGGTGAAACCCACGAGCACGGTTATGGTGCTGACAAACCTAGAAACATAATCGGGCGAGCCGAGATTCGAATCGGGATTAATAGGTTTCTGGCGTGCCCAAGGGACGCACAGCGAATCGCGGC